TTTATGGACCATTAGCAATATGCCACCTTGTCGAATTTTATTTTTTTGAGCACGATAAACTAGTGTGAGTTTTGAAAAAGAAGCTTTAACTTTGAATTCAGAATACAAAGTTTTTCAGATTCGTCACCAGAAGACTATCCGTATTCTTCATCGTTCTATTAGAGGTTTTACGGTAAATACAATACAATACAAAAATTTGAATTTCGGAAAATTCAAAAATCCCAAAAATGCCAAAAAATAGAAAAATTCAGGAATTCAGAAAAAAATTTTGGTCTGAAATATTTTGTAATTCTAGCCTTTGAATTATTGAATCAGACAAGCTAACAAACCCAAAATTTATTCACTTCCCTGGAGAAAATATATGGGTTATTAGAAGGGCCGGCCCTTCTATTGTTCCAAGCTCCTTTCGGAGGGCCCTTTTATTAGAGGGGCCCTTCTAATACAGGCTTTACGATTCAGGGATTGTTAAAAAAATAGTTCATTCCAAAAAAACCAAAAACTCAAAACTTTGGAAATTGAAATCTGAAAATCGAAAAAAACCGGAAATCAAAATGTTAGGAATCCGAAAATTAAAAAAAAAGGCGAAAACAGGGCTGGGCGAGCAATCGGATTCGTGGAAAACGAAATGCAAAACACACGCAATTCGAGAAAAAAAGTGGTCGGAGCCATCGCACACACAAAGTATAGTGGACGGCGGAACCCGGGAAGTGTCGGCCGCTGCGAAGAGCGACTAGCCGGCGGCGCGTAGTTGAAAAATAAATCAAACTTCAAATTCCCGCCAGTTTCGTGTCGATACCCGTCGGCGAAATTGCGTGCGCCTTTCATCTCGAATGGCACAACAAGCGCAGAAAATTTGCAAAACGTGAAGGTTTTTCTCCCGTCCTTACCCACCCCTGGGCGAAAATCAGAAAAATTCAAACAAAACTCAATAAACTTTATTGAAATTTTTCAATAAAAAGTTGGCGTTTTGAAGTAGATGATTGATATTTGGATGGTTCCATTTATGAAGCAGGGGCTCCTGGAGCCGGAGCCGGAGCAGCTGGAGCACTTGGAGCAGCTGGTTGAGATGCTGATGGTTTTGCTCCAGAAGGATCCGGAAGGAAGCTCACCGGAATGCGTCGGACACCTGGAACAGGAAAATGAATGATATTCTGAACAAATTCTGAATTTCGACGTTCTGGAAAAATCGGAAAATTCAATAATTCGAAAATTCAATAATTCAAAAATCATTTTGAAAATCATTAATTAAAATTTTTGAAAGAAAAAATCCGAAATCCTAAAATTCGAAAACTTCCCAAATGTTCAAAATTTTTAAAAATCGAAAAATTCTAAATTCGAAAATCCTGAATTTCAGATATTCGAAAATTATAAAATTCCAAAAACTAAGTGAAATAAAAGCATCAGGAATCAGTGAAAAATGTACTGAAATTGATTTTCAAAATAAATATTTTTTCACTGACACGTTTTTTTTTTGCATTTCGTGCTATTTGTTGAAAACTATAGGCTCACCCTCTGCATCCTTCAATCCATTTTTCCAAAGGGGCGGAGCCAATCGGGCACTCGGAAAAGCAGTTTTATGATAGAATGCAAAATAGTGACGTTTTTCCATTTTCTGCTTCTGATCCGTATTAGCATTCCAAATGGTAATTGTCATTAAACCATTTGGGTTCACAAAAGCAACTGGTGGTTGAACTCTGAAGATGTCAGCTGATGTACAACGGACTTTGAATGTTATGCGATTCGATGTTGGATTATGGAGACGAAGGCTCACATATGTTGGACGACCGATCGGAGCGAATGGGAACTCAACCTGAGATAATTAGAGTTAATTAATTGGTTGACTCCAATTATTTCGGTTCCAGTAAGAGATGATAAATAATTGCTAACTCATAAAATGTTCAAAACTTTCACAGGAATCGAGATATTCTAAATTTCAGAATTTCAGAATTTCTAGATTTCTGAATTTTAGAATTTTCGAGTTTCAGAAATTCGGGTTTTTTGAGAATTTCAAAATTGTAATTTTTGGGATTTTCGGAAGAATTTTTGAATTTTCGAAATTTCGAATTCCATAAAAACTGGTTTTTTAAAATTGGATTCCTTGAAAATTGAATTAATTTTGGACCTAGTTTTATGGCTCTACTTTGAGCTCAGTTATCACACTTCATGTGAAAGATATCAAAAGTTGTCAACTGACAAAACGTTTATCAGGAAATCAATAATATTTTATCAGTTGACAACATTTTTATAGCTTTCACAGGAACCGAGATAATTAAGCTCAAAGGGTTACGGTACCTTATTCGCATTAAGCGACAATTTGAATGCCGGCTCATCGGGCTTATTGGCCATTGTTGCATCCGTACTGGCGCCAGCATCTTCAAATGGAACGGGTTGCTGAAATTTTGGAAATTTCTAAAATTTCGGAACAAAAGTTTTTGAAAAATCACCTTGGGAGGAGCCATTTTTCAAAATATAGAGAACGCTTTCGGTACAACTTGGATAATTCTCGAATAGTGAAACTTTTTTCGGCCGGTGTTGACTGTATATCGTGGATAAGATGAGCTAGTTTTTTTTAAAGTAAGGTTTACAGAGTTCACGCATTTTTGAAAATGTGTCATTGGAGCGCACTTGACCCAGAAGACCAAATTTTTCTAGTGGAGCATGTTTGAATACTGTAATAACTTTATTATAAGGCTTAAATTATTGGGGTTTTTGAGTTTTGTGTTAGAGCGCATTTGCTGACCCAAAAATATAAAAACTAAAAAATCTTTATTATCAAAAAAAGTTATTAAAAGTTCAACATTTCGTCTGTTTCGAGTTGGGCCCTTCATCCGGATCCTCGCTGTGGGGTTTGTGGATTTTCAGGAGTGGACGGAGCCTCTGGATTCGAGGCGGCTTGATCAAAATGAACCGAATCCAATGGAGCAGGCGATGTTGGAATGTCTGCTGGAGCAGGTACAGGTTCCTGGGGTGAAAACTGTTGAGTTACTGTAGGAGGGGGCGGGGCTTTTGGGGCTGGAGGAGCTGGTGGAGCTGGAGTCAGCGAAGCTGGAGCGGTACCCGACTGAGTAACTGGTACAGGTGGTGGTGGGTGGGTTCCCTGGAATTTAAAAAAAATAGAAGTTTCTAGAAGTTTTAAAAAACTTACCTTAATAGCAGTTGCCATAGGATCTTCGCTTGACTTTGAACTCTTCGCTGATTGCTCAGATTTAGTTCTTTTTGTCTTCTTATCCTTCTTGTTCTTCTTTTTCTTCTTCTTATCCTTCTTCGCCTTCGTTCCAGTGCGTGTAGTGCCTCCAGTAGTTCCCGTAGTCCCCCATCCACTAGTTCCACTGGTCCCACCACTAGACGTCGTCCCATAACCAGATTCCATTGATCCCCTGAATCCTGGATCCATCGACATCTGATTCCTTTCTTCTCGTTCTTTTTGTTTCTTTCGATACATGAAAAATATAAAGGCACATGCAGAAATGGAAACACAGATCGCTATGAAACCAGCGACGATAACGATAGCACCAACAGTAACATCCAATTCAGTTGTTGTTGGTGGACGTGTTGGTGGAGGAGGCGGTGGTGGAGGCGGAGGAGTCTTCCCGGGTGCAGCTGTTGGGGGAGGAGTCGGTGGAGGTGGAGGCGGAGGTGGTGGAAGAGGTGGTGGTTGCGGGATGAGAGCTTGAGTGATCGTGGTTGCTAGTGTCAGCAACGGAGGTATTATTCCCAGCCACTGAAATTATTTTATTGGGGAGGTATTCGGCAAATTAAGAGTTTCAGCTTTAAATTTGTGTTTGCACTTTTGAGCTCAACTATCTCGGTTCCTATAAAAGATATCAAAATTTTGTCAATTAATAAAATGCTTGTCATTGAATCATCAACTTTTTTGTAGTTTACAAATTTTTAATATTGTTTCCAGGAACCGAGATAAATTGATTGAAATGGGAACGTTAGGAGATCATTGTCTTAGTGGTCTGTAAAACCAATAACTTTTTGAACCAATTTTATCCCACTTCTAGTTAAAAAATATCAAAAAGTTGTCAACTAATAAAATAATTTTAATGAAATGATAAATATTTTTTCAGTTAACAACTTTTTGACATCTTTTACAGTAGCTGAGATAATTGAGTAAGTATAGGTGGGACGCTCTTTTAGATCATTTGGGAAGTCACCAAGTTTCCCGACTTAAAGGGAGAGGAACATGAAAGGTTTTGGAGGTTTTTTAGAGTATGCAATCTGACAGGACGGTGTAGAGTAATCAGTTTTCCACATGTGACTATCATTTCGCTTTCATACTGTACCTTTCGATGAAAAATACAAAAAACAATTTTTACTGTCTAGTTTTTGATTACTCTGAAAATCATGGATAGTGTGAAACAGGCCTAGACTAAAAACTTTACATTTACAGAAATTTTGGAAAGTTCCTAGTTTTTCAGCTATTTGCCAATTTTCGAGGGACTTTTATTTTGGTCCGTTTTTGTATTGAAAACGAGAAAAAAACGAGTGTCTTTCAGAAATCGCGGATAGCTGAAAAGCTAGGGATTTTCAAAAAAATTCTGTGAATTAAAAGTTTTTGATTTAGGTCTGTTTTACACCCTTCAAAATTTTCAAATTGATCTGAAACTTGACAACCGAGCTTCAGGCTGTTGAAAATCCAGAAATCAATCGAAAAATACGTTTTTGTATATCTAACTGAAAGGTACTGTATATGTTTTCCCGCCAGACTCCAAAATCCAGACACTTTAAAGGTGGGGGGACATGAAAAAATAATGTTCTCGAAATTCCGTTCAAAGATGCCTCTCGAGGAGTTGAACTTGTGAAGGCGATGATTGAGGGTGCGGCGCCGCTACCGACTGAGCCACGCGGGCAAAGAGAAAGCGGATGCCCGATTGCATACATAAAGGCGAGGACGACAGCTGTACGCAGAGTGACATTAAGTGTTGTACACCGTGACGGTAGAATGCATACTCTAGCTACAAAAAAACTACGAAAAATCTCGTTTAACCGTTCAACTGTCTCTAACCGTTCAACTGTCTCTAGTAACCGTTCAACTGTCTCTAGGAGAATTTTGTTATGCTGGAATATTCCCGAAAAATCCAACAAGCTTTTTTGGATGACCTCTACTCTTTTTCCCAAAACCTTCTCTAGTTCCCAGTAACCTAGGTGTCATGTCACTCCAAATTGAAATGGAGAGATCCACGAATAGCCAGTGTCTCTGTATTTATTCTGGAAAATTCGAAGTCGTCGTCTTCTCAATCTTCTGGAGCATCATGTCGGGACAATCGGGTGTTACTGCATGGATGGTAAATGAAATTGGGGAAAATATCTAGATTTTGAAAAGGAATTTGGAAATTCAGGAATTCTGGAACAATCGAAATCTCGGAAATTGGGAAATTCAAAAAGGTAGCAACTCAGTTATTCAGAAATTCAGAAATTCTGAAATTCCGAAAATTCAAAAATTCAAAAATTCAAAAATTCAAAAATTCAAAAATTCAAAAATTCAAAAATTCAAAAATTCAAAAATTCAAAAATTTAAAAGTTCAAAAATTCAAAAATTCGAAAATTCGAAAATTCAAAAATTCAGAAATTCAAATTGTAAATTTTACAGCCCGCAATAACCGCTGGAATCAACATGATCGGCAACGTTGTGGGAAGTATTTGGGGAGCTAAACCAGTCCCACCACCAGTCGCAGCACCACTACCACCACCTCCACCGCCTCAGATCGAATATCGGCCAGTTCCAGGAGCACCACCAGAAACTATATACATAACTCAAGCACCACTACCACCACCAACAGCTGCTCCAGAAACTCTAAGCTATCTTGGAATCATCGCTTTGGTCATTATGGTCCTTTTCGTTCTGGCTTGTTGTGCTTCTGGAATTGGATTCTTCTTCTGGCAAAGTCAAAAAGCGGAGAAGTAGAAAAGAGATAATGAATCAATGTCAAGAATTGATGATAGTTACATGGAGAGTGGGCGGAGACGTCGTGGAAGTCGTTCGGGTTACAGTACTAGTGGAACAAGTAGAACTGGAAGGACTGGAAGAAGCACTTATGGTAGAAGTAGCTCGTATGGTGGAAAGAGTTCGTATGGAAGATCCAGAGGACGTTAATGGAACGTTTAGATTATTGAGCTTTACTTGTTAAAACAACTTGTTTTTTTTCGGTAATAAATACCACTTATTTTGGTTGTTAATGTTTGAAAAAAAAAGAAATAACGCTAAATATTTTTTTTCTGAAAAAGTGTATACGGTTGGTATCTCGAAACGGAAAGCCTAAATAGCACATATTCGGTGGAGACGCAGACAGGATTTTGAAAATTTTCTCTGCGTCTCAACTCTTTTTTTCAGAAAACGATCATACATCCCATGGGTTCTTGAACTATATTTTCATATTCAGATTCTAAGTCTCGAAATCAAAAAATTTAGAAACTTAAAAAAATATTCGAAAAATTGAAAATTCAAAAAAGTTCCAGAAGCTTTGAAATTGCGAAAAATTGAAATTCTGAAAACTGGAAATTCCAAATGTCTGAGTTTTCTGGAGTTTCTCATTCTCAGAAATTACAGAACTTTCAGATTTCAAAAAATTTGAGAAATCTAGAAAAAATTCGAAATTTCAGGATTCCAGGAAAACTTTAAATTTCATGAAGCTCACCATTTTCAACAACAAACTTCATTTGTTTATGATAAGAATTATAAGGAAGATATACAGTTTAAAATTAGGAAATCAATCAATAAAGATGTTACAATAAAGATGATGAGCTACACTGTAACTTAAGAAATACAGTACCAGTCGAAAATATACAAAATGTATTTTCAGTTGATTTGTAAGGCTTCCATTCGATCGGGAAATTTAGCCGACCAACAGACCACTGACCGAGTTGACCGATTGGTCGGCGTGCCGACCGTTTTATGTGCAGTTGCGCGTCAAAGTGTTTGCGCACGCAGCATTGTATTTTACGACAAACTGTTCACTAAATGCCTCGTTTGTCGTAAAATACAATTTTGCGTTCGCAAAAATTCGCAATTTGATTTCAAAAATTAATCCTTCAACAGAAAGAAAAAGATTGGGAAAAAATAACATGAAAAAACTGAAAATCTGAATAATGCACCGTTTTTGGGAATGAAAACATTTGATGGTAGAATTTTCGAATTTTAGAAAAAAAAATCTCAAAAATGTCAAAAAGTTTTGCATCTCCATTTTTTAAAGGCTTCCATTCGGTCGGGAAATTTAGCTGACCGACCGACAGCCGATCGGTCGGCACGCCGACTGTTTTCGTGCATTTGCGCGTCAACGTGTTTGCATACGCAGCATTGTATTTATGGATGGATTTGAGACTCTAGACATCACTTTTCCCCTCAAAATTTCCCTCTTCTAGGTCATTCCACGTCGATCCAAGCCAAAAATTCCACGCCAATATTAGCACGCCAAATAAAAAACAGCAAATTTTGAACAAAAAAAATAATTTTCCCTTAAATCTACAGTAATCCGACTGCTTCAAATCATATCAGGGGTCTCAATTTTAAACTTTATGGGTTGATTTTAATATCAGCAAATTTCTCGTAAAATTCTGAACAAATCCTACCTATTTTCATTAAGAATGGTTTGACAGATTTTTTGAACAATTTCAAGAATCTTCAAAAATGACAAAATTCAGTTGACTTTTTAGAAAATCTATCAGGGCTTTTATTTTTGGTCCAAATCAGACGTTTTTCAGATCATTTGATTTGTTTTCAAATTCTCTACAATTTCTACCTATTTTGAAAAAAAAATTTAGACCCAGAATTTTTTAATGCCAAAAAATCTGATTTTCCCCTGTATCGAGAAAAGCGCCAAAAAATCAGAAAAAAATCAGAAAAACTCGATTTCCAATATTTTTCGCCGTGAGTCACTCAAAGCCTCGTTTGTCGTAAAATAAAGTGCTTCGTACGCCAGTATAGGCATTTTGATGCGCAAAGTCACGAAATCGGTCGGCTGACCGATCGGTCAGCTCGGTCGGCCGTCGGTCGGCATCTTCGACCGACCGAAATGAAAGCCTTACTCGGCTGTCAAGTTTCGATCACTTTGAAATTTTTAAAGGGTCTAAAAAAGACCCAGATTGAAAACTTTGCATTCACAGAAGTTTTTAAAATTTCTTTTTTTTTCCATAATTCTCAAAGACACCTATTTATCTCACGTTTCCAGTCCAGAAACGGGCCAAAAGGGATTTTCAAAAAATTCCGTGAATGTAAAGTTTACAATCTAGGTCTATTTCACACACCTGCAAAATTCTCAAAATGATCATAATTTTTTTGCCAACAGTCTCCCGAAAATGGTCAAAATCAATAGAAAAACAACCAGACGTTTCCGTCTGTTGATCCCTTTCGCCACGTAGAGGCTCAGTACATGAAAGGGAATAATGGTTTTTCACCGGGGGGAAAACACCAACCAAAAACCCCTGATGGGCTCCTAGGCCCATTACCGTTGAGAAAATTTCCATTAGTAATTCTTCAGTGGCAGAAGTCTCTATACCAACACTACTCATTGATGTTTCTTTTTTTTTTGAATCTTTGATTGGATCGATTTTGAAAGGGGGACGTTCGGCGAAAAACACCTAGCCATGAACCACCAAACATGGCGACCCTGAGGGCCTTTTATAACTTTGTTCGCATTTTCACCAATCGAAAGACAAGAAACTACCGATGAGCAGCGTGCAAAGAGCTTCTTACCAGTGAAAAAGTGCCAGTGGGAATTATCCAACGATTAATAAAGTTGAGAGAGTGTAACTTCACAAGGAAACTGCTTTTTCTCAATATGTGGAATTTTTGAAACGTGGGCAGAAGTAGGGGGCGTGACCTAATATTGATTGATTTATTCATTTATTTCGTAACGTGATAATTGAAAAAAAAAACTAATACATTTTTGAAGAGCCTGAAAATCAAATACAATTTGAGGTCACATTTTGGAAAGCGACGTGGTTAAATGCATCGAATGTTTTCCCAAAAAAATTCCTTTTCACGTTTTTCAATTTCTAAAAGTCCTCTCTCCTGTCCTAATTACAGTAACCCCCATCCACCCAAGCCACAGTAACCCAAACCTGACAATATAAATTTGTAGGCTTCTTGTGGCTATAAAAGAAGCAATATGTTCAGAGAGAAGACCATAAATTCTTTTTTTAAAAAGAAGTTTTTGCCTCAAAAAAGGAATCAAGAGAAATCATATGGTTGCGATTGGGGTAAGTGGTTAAGGATGAGCAATCCAGAAGGCTTGGGATTCTAGATTCTAGGATTCTAGGAGAGCGAAATTTTCAAATGTCTAAAATTAAAAATAAGAATTTCAGACTTATAAAATTTTTTTTGAAATTTCGAATTTTCGAAATTTTGAATTTTCGAATTTCTGAATTCCTGATTCAAAACCATTAACAAATTTAATCCTTTATGTTCCAGCCAATAATCTCGGGGATCTTCAATGGAATCGGAGGACTTCTAGGATCAGGAGTCGGTCAACCCCCTCCACTACCACCACCACTCCCACCTCCACCTCCACCAGCACCTCCACAGATTATCCATCCCCCAAATAAACCTAATGAAATCATCTACATCACTCAAGCACCGTATCCACCTGCAACTAGAGCACCGGAGACTCTTACCACTTATGGAACGTTGGAATCGTTTTTTGTTTGGTCATTTTGATGTGTTGTGTTGCTGCTGGAATTGGATTCTATTGTTGGCAGACTCAGAAGTCGGAAGCGGAGAAAAGAGCAAATGAAGCAGCGAGAGATCGGGATATGGAGATGGGTGGAGGCGGAAGAAGGGGAAGACGAGGTGGAGGATATACTTCTGAAACTACTGGAACTACTGGAAGGACCAAGACCAAGAGACACAAAAGAAGATGAGCAATCTATTTTTCTTTCTTTGTTGAATAAAAATTCCGGCGGACCCGTCATCTCACGAGTTTTGAAATTTTCAAAAAACACACTTTTTTCGAGTTTTTCGATCTTTTTTGATCAGACAGACAAACAATCCGAAATACGAAAAAAAAATGGAAAAAATTATATTGAGAGCTTAAAATTTGGCTCAAAAATACAGAATTTTTGACACCGAGCCTTGAAAATTTCCTCAGGCCCGACCCGGCCCGGCCCGGAATTTTAAAAGTATGCTTATTTTCATACCTGAAAAGTTCATTTTCGCAATTTGTCCAGGAGTCGAGATAAGATCCTTTGAAATTTCAAACATTAACTATACTTTTTCTCTAATACCAAACCAGCAAGCAATCTGAAATCTGGGCATTACAAAATTAGAAGTTTCATAATTTAAATCCAAAAAAAACCAAGTTTCTAGCTAGTCTGGAAGTTGAGATATGGGCGGTCGAAGTTTTTGAGAAACGCAGACAACAAGAGCACTCTTGTTGTCTGCGTCTCTTCTAACTTGAAAAGCGCGTATCTCGGTTCCCAGGCTAGCTAGAAACTTGATCTTTTCACCAATCAATTTAGAAATTCCTAAGAATCCTGGTAACTTAAAAAATTTTGCATCCATTAATCTACCCTCCACTAGCAACAAACTTACCCTTCATTTTTTGCAAGTGTTTTGCATCCATAATAATTTTTTTTTCGGAATTTTTGCACCCCTTTTTTGCATCCTTTTTTCTTCACTAATATGTTCAGAGAATGCATACCTCATGTTTTGTTATCCGACTACGAGTGTCCGGAAATCTTCACCTCATCGATCGCGACGACGTCATCAAAGGGACAGCTACATTCGGCGCCGAAGGTCTACTATCAGCCAAGGCCTTCTCGACTGACACAGTGCTCAAATCTGAGCAATCGGAGCTACGAACTACCCGAGATTATTCCAGAGGAAGTGCACGAGACAAAAATACCCAGGTATTGAAATTTGGGATTTTTTTTGAAATTTTTAATTTTTGGAATGTTTCGAAGAATGTTAGATTGCATGACCATCACCAATTTTTTTTGCACTTTTAAATATAAAAAATAAAACTTCGCAATAGAGCGCATTTTCTGATTCTGAAAATTTTTCGAATCTTGAAATCCGAGTTCTTTTAGTCCCGTCTCTTTCGAACCACAATCATCGGAATCCGAAGAAGAGCCGATGGCAGTGTACGTGGAGGAAGAGAAGCGGATACCTCAAAACGATATTGATTTGGGCGCGTTTGAGTTGGTGGATTCTGGTGAGTCGGTTTCCTTAAAAAAGTCGATTATTTTAAAGACAAAAATCAGGTTTCTAGCTTATCTAGGGGCTGAAGTACCCGAATTTTTAGATTTTATGATTTCTAGCGCTAATATCTCCTGAACTATGAAAGCTAGCTCAATTTTTGTAAATTGTAAACTGTAGGAAATTTCAAAAACTATATTTTTATAGTTTGTCATTTTTTGATACCTTCAGTGGTTTTTGAGATACAGCGCTTTGAAGTTTGGTGAGAGACGCAGGTGGTTATAGTGTATGTTTGTCTGCGTCCCTAACCACTGAAACTTTAAGTGGGCGTATCTTAGCTTGGACTCGGTTTGGAAATTTTTGGAATTTTCAAGAGATAAAATTTTGAATGAAATTCTTGGAGTTACTGTAGCAAATTCGAGAAAAAAACCAATTAGTTTTATATAAGTTTTTTTTTAAATGTTTAAAATACCAGAAGAGCTATCATAGCAAATATACAATTTGAAAAATGGAGCTCTCGAAAAGTTAAACACTTCTGCAGTTTTCAAAATTTTGACAGCTTTTATTGCTGAGGTATGCCGTTCTGAAATATTAACTCTCGTATAGAAGCTCAATTATCTCCATTCCTATAAGAGATAATAAAAATGTGTTAACTGATAAAATGTTTCTGATATTATGATAAACATTCTATCAATTGACCACTTTTTGATACCTCTCATAGAAATTGAGAAAATTGAGCTTAAACTCTCATTTTCTTCTAATTTCCAGGTCTCACTCCCGAAGCCCTTCTCTCCAAGGACGAACCCGTGATATTCCACCAAAGCATGCCAGTCCACTCCGTCCATCACGACACGGTACAAACCGAAGCAGCCCTTGCAAACCTGATGGCAGCCCCATCGAGTATGCTAACCAACGCGATTCCACCAATCATGGTCGAAGACAACTACTGTTTCGTGGTGGATGGAGAACGCGTTCGAATGGGTGACATACTTGGAGACGATCAATGGTGGAGGCATACATCTCGACCGACCAAGTATTTCTATTCGGATGATTTGAAACAGTTTCATCGAGTGAACTGTATAACAGCGAAGGGAAAAGTGATAACGGCAAAACTGGCGACACAGATGCCTCATCAACCATCAACGTCTATGTCGGCATCGGCGTCACATCAACAGTCGTTATCAGCGTCGACACATGCTCAAGTACATCCTCAGCATCATAGTATGTCCAATACGCCGAGGTGAGTATTATTTAAAATTCTTCAGGTTGTGGATTCTAGACCACAATTGAAAACAGCCATTTTAAAGGGGAAAATCAGGCTTCTAGCTAATCTATGAGCTGATATATCCGGGTTTTTAGGATTTCATGATTTCTAGCGCTTATATCCTCTAAACCATTAGAGCTATCAAAAACTTGCTAACTGCTAAAATGTAGGAAATTTGAAAAACTATAATTTTGTAGTTGTTCTTTTTCTGATATCTCTAAAGGCTATTGAGATATAGCGCTGTAAAAAATTGCGAGGCTAGAGACCCAGACAATGAGACACTCTAACTGTCTGCGTCTCTTCTCTGGGATCTAGATAACCTGTAGAGATGGTGGTCAGAGGGTCTGCGTCTCAGACGATAGCGTTTAAAACATGCTAGGTAAGAGACGCAGATAGTTAGAGTCGCTGGTGTTCTGTTTCTCTAACCTCTGAAACTATGAATCACTATATCTCGGCTTCTAGAAAAGCTAGAGAGATGAAACTTGGACAGAAATGTTCAGAATTTTATGGAAATTTCATTTTCGGAAACATTAGTACCCTGTCTACCGAATATCACTGTGCCCAGTAGGTCGCTTCGCGTTTTTTTCTTTCTGATAGTGAGAATAGGCGAAAGGTGAAATTTTGATCTTTGTGATATATAATGACCAGCAAGAAGGGTCTTTCTATGAATAACAAATTTTTTCAGATCTTCGATCTCTGGTGGAACCCATCAAACAGCCCACACGACTCCATCTCGGACATCACATCACGATGCGAACAAAGTGCCACTGAACAACGTCTACAAAGTGATTCGATTCTATTCATTTTGGAAGACGTGCACGTCATTTCATCGGATAGTCACAATGATTGATAAGGTGGTTGATGAGCCGTCGACGTCATCTGGAGGCACCACTTTTAAGAAGAGATTATTTGTACAGTATCTTTGGAGAAATGCAAAGGCAGTTGAGAAGGCGAGAGTTCAGAAGGAGTTTGATCCGAGGAGGCAGCGATTGCTCAGATTTGTGACGGATCCGGCTGCGCGGAAAAGGTTCCAGAAGATGTGATGACTTCTCTCTGGATGGTTTTCTCTATCTCTCTCAAAGTGTGATTCTCTTTTCTTCTTTTTTTTCGTGTCTTGTAGAGGGGGTGTTAATGAGAACTGTTTTGGAAATTTTTTAAGGGTTCAGGATTTTTCTTTTTAGGAATTTCAAAATGAGATATTTTGAATTTTCAGTTTTTTTCTTGAAATTTTCTGGAAGATCCATAGTTGCTGTTGCTTTTCCTAAAGTTTCGAATTTCTGAAAAAGTTTTCAAAAGTCTGAATTTTTGATTTTCCTGAAATTTCGAACTTCGGATTTTCGGGTTTCTAAGAATTTCAATGATTTTATGATATTTTTGAAAAATAGAATTTCAGAAAATTTCAATTAAAATAGAAATTTGGGATTTTTCTTCGGGAATTTCTGAATTTCTGAATTTCTGAATTTCTGAATTTCTGAATTTCTGAATTTCTGATTTTCTGAATTTCTGAATTTCTGAATTTCTGATTTTCTGAATTTCTGAATTTCTGAATTTCTGAATTTCTGATTTTCTGAATTTCTGAATTTCTGATTTTCTGAATTTCTGAATTTCTGAATTTCTGAATTTCTGAATTTCTGATTTTCTGAATTTCTGAATTTCTGATTTTCTGAATTTCTGAATTTCTGAAAATTCTCAAGTTTTAGTTAAAATAGAAAACTTAGAATTCTCAATTTTTTTCTGAAAAAAAGATTTCCCTAAAAATTTCCAAAACAATTCCTTCAAAAATGCTCTTCTCAATTCCCTATGTCCATATAAAAATCTGTCCTTATCGTCTCTCAAAAACGTGCCATCCATTTTTTGTCCATTTTTATGTACTTCTTCTCCTGTTTTTTGCCCCTCCAACAATCTCTAATTTTCCAATTGTTTACGGGTTTTTCAAAAATTCCTCGAATCCCAAAAATATATTGATGATCTTTGGCTGAAAAACATCTTCCTGTCGCTTTTCTTTTCTGTGTTATCTCTTCCTTTTTTGCTTCTCTAGAGTTTTCTAGGCCATGGCCTAGAAATCCCAAAAAAAAATCAAAAATCGTCTTTCTACTATGCACATTTTCTCCGAATTGTCCTTCTCCTTTCGCTTATCATTCTTTTTTCGAGAAAATTTTTTTTTTTCTTCTCACTTCTACGCCTGAAAATAAATCTATTTTGAGTTTCAAAAAAATGGCTACAGTAACCCAAAAAGTTTGATGTGCAGGTTTGTGGAGGACGATCTGTTTGCGGTGATCATTGATGAGAATGGAAATGAGAGCGAGTCGGAGGAAGAGCTATCGGATAGTGAAGAGAATCAGAATAATAAGGATCCGCAGAATTTGTTGAGAAAGTTGAAAATGGAAGTGACAACGCATCCGGGGAAAGGTAAATTCTAAAATTCAGAAATTCTGAAACTCTGGAATCCCACCAAAATTCGAATTTCCAGGTGGTCAAGAAGTTCCAGTCTACAGTAATGATGATGAGCATCCATTGGATGGTCCTCACACAATTCTTCATGCGGTTCAGTGTCCCAAAAAATTCATTGCAACGGTACGTGACTTGTGGTACCCATGGTATTTATGGTACTCATGGTACCGTGGTACATATGATGCTCATGACATCTTTGGTACTAATTCTATCATCTTTAGTACTTATGGGTTCCATGATAGCTATTAATTCTATGGTGCTCATTGGCACTCATGGTACCCATAGTACTAATGTTATCCATATATTCCATGATAGTTATGACTACCATGGCAGTTATGGTACGCTTTTGTACTTAGGGTTCTATGGTATCTATGGTTTCTATGGTACTCATAGTACTAGTGTCAGGGCTCTGGTGTCATGGTAGCAGTACCCATAGTGCTTTTGGTGCTTTCATTACCTATAGGTTCTATGGCACCCATGGTACTCTTGCATCCATAGTACTCGTGGTACTATGGTAGACATGATACCATTCGACAATTCCAGGTCGCCCCGACAGAAGTGGCTGATACTGCTTGTTTCGTTTGCGATTCGAATCTAGTCTCCATGCAAATGATTGAAGAAGACGCCGATCACATCCATTGGAAACAGACAATGTCAACGACCCATTATTACGCCACGGACAACTGGAAAGACGATTTCTATCGAGTGACGCCATTAATGTGTCGAGGAGTACTGCGAGGAGCTTATAAAGTTGGCAAAGATCGGAGTGGAAAGATTCAGAGGGTTGATATTATTAGGGTGAGTTGAAAATTGTTCCTATGGGGACGTTGGATACCATAGTTTTTGTTATGGTCATGAATGTGGTGCCCATAGTGCTCATGGTAACCGGCGATTCAATGTCTGGATGGTTTCTTAGTTTGAGAGTTCATGTGTACCTATGGTACTCATGGTATTCATGACAGATCCCCATATTTTGGTACCATAGCCACCATTCGTTGTTTTGTGCTTTATGTTCATAGCTGTACTGCCCGTGGTTCATATGGTACCAATGATGTTTATGGTACCCATGCCCCCATGGTACCATTATTTTCCCCGTGGCACCATTATTTTCCCCATGGTACCATCTTTTTTCAGGTCTATCGTGTGACCCGTCACTTCAGTTGCTGGAAAAGCGTCCCTGTCTTCCATCGTGTGATTTCACTTGTCGAAGCGGCACTCCCCTATAAACAAATGACTTCAAAGCAGAAACAATTGCTGAAAGCCAACGGAAACAAGTTAATCAATCGTCTATTCATTCAATATTATTGGAGATTCCAACAAAGCGTAAGCGACTGATAGCATGGATACCATTTTTTCATGAATACCATAGCTTGTTACCATTAAAACTGTATTTTTAACCATGGAAACCATATCTTGGTGCCATCAATACTATAATTTGGTACCGTGGATGCCATATATTGTTACCAAGAAACCAAAAAAAAATCGCCTGGTTTTGTTGGCTATGGGAAACAGGTCAACAAAAATGGTACGCATGCTACCAAGTTATCATGGAAAATATATTTTGGTACCATGGTACCATGGAAACCATACTTAGATATCATGATAACGTAACTTGACGCCATGGTTGCCACACCTTGGTACCATGGTACCATGAATACCATAACCTAACACCAATTTTTCCAGTTCCTCAACCGCGAGCAGGTTCTCAGTGAGTACGCAGAGTCTTCAAAACGAACCCGCGCCAAGAAATCGTGGATTCGAGTTGTGAAGAATGTAGCGAGATTGAGAGCTGCGACGAGTATCCTTGCAGCTGCACATAAGAATCATACATTGTGAAGAAAATCGATAATCGACAGTTTTTGAAAAAATATGTACTTGTTATTATTCCCGATTTTTAAAGGTTTTTTTTTTCTATCGAACAAAAGTAATAAAGAAAATATGTAGTCCTAGAATTGATGGGAGATCGATGGTACCATGAGTACGATGAGTAGTCAGATGGTTTGGCTCAGTCAGAATTAGTAGAACTTTTTGAAAATAAGAAAAATCAAAAATTCCATTTTTCAAAGGTTCCGCAAATAGACTGTCGACTGGAATTCCAAAATAAAACGAAGCATATATATTACTATTTCAAAAGGTATGTTGATCGCGCATTTGGTATGAGAATCCTCCTCAAATTTGCACAATTCTTTTAAATTTTTATCTTTTTCCTCCAAGAAATGACAAACTTAGTTTTTGGCAAATTTCGACGGATATCTAAAAAACAGAATTAGCTTAAATCCTGAATGTCCAACTTTGACATAACTGATCTCGTTTTCTGTGAAAGATATCAAAAAGTGGTCAACTGATAAAATGTTTATCATAAAATTTTAAATATTTTATCAATTGACCACGTTTTGATATCTTTTACAGGAAATTAGATAAATTGAATCAAAGTTGGTGAGGTTTTTTTTTCATTAGAAAGGCTTTTAAGTGAAAAACGTTCAAAGAACTTGGGTACAATGTGCGAAATAAGTATTTTCTGTAGTAAACTTCCCTCCAGGGGGAACCAGAATGACATACAAACAACAAAAAACAACACATAATTAATTTATTACAAGAATGATGATAAGATAACAAATATACAGAATAATAGATTGAATTATAGTAGTTCCTGGCACGAATCAATCCAAGCCGATCTGAAATTAATACACTTAATTTCATTCGTCACCTTTTTAACGCTACACAAATGTTAAAGTAAAAAATAAACTCAACGGATAAATGGGTAACGCATCTCGTACACGAATTGTTCATACCAACCAGGAGTGTCTCCTTGCAAGTTCTTACGCAGTTGAACTTTTCTCGATGCGATGACGTCTCCCGTGTTGAGTTGAATTTTTTTTAGATTTTCTGGCTCTTTATGACAAAGGGGGGCCCATGGGAAAAGGAGGGGGCCCAAGTCAAAAGGGGGCATGAGAATAGGGGGGGGGGGGCGAGACAGAAGGGGGGCCCATGGTTAAAAATTATGTCTAAGTTAAGATTTTTCGATTTTTTCAAGTTGATTTTTTCAAGTTGATTTTTTCAAGGCGGCATTGGATGAGTGGAATTGCGAGAAGAGTTGGGTTACTGTAGAGAGTGATAAGAGCATTTGCACACAGTATACACACCCATCGGAATAGATGATGAGTGGATGGTGGGTCCTAAAACAAAAGCAAGTTTCCAGAACCCCAATAGGCACGTAATTCGAATGGTACAACAATTCGGAAGCGCAAAATTAGAATTTTTCAAATGTTTTGTACCCCCCCCCCCCCCCCGAATTGAGGATTTTGTACCCTTAAACTGCATTGTACCCCAACGATGGTCCCAAAATTGTTGTACCTTCCGACACGATTTCCTCGGAATCGGTTCCTCGGAGGCAACCCCTTCCTCGGAATCGGTGGAGTCTCGAATTATTTGCCACCCCAAGGGTAAACTCCCAAATCCTCCATCTCCTTTCGGTAGTCCCATGATACAGATTTTAAGGAATCGGAATATTCCATCGCCAACCGTGATCGATGCTCCAACAGCTGACGAGAAACCAATGTCACCTTTTTATTTCTTCTCCAGAGCTTCTTCACAGTGGTCTCCGGTGTATCCCCACTTGCAGTCGCACCACATATGTCCCATCTCACTCACACATGCTCCATGGATTCCACATACTGTCGAGTTGCAGTTGTTTACGGTCCTCCAACAAGTGGACATCTGGAATCAGGAAATGTGAATAGTACTTCTAAATTCTTTACCGAGTAAGGTTTTCTTTTGTCGGAAATTACTAGAACAAAGTTTCTAACTGAAAAATCCCATAAGAATTTTCATTATTTTTTCAGTAACTCTTGGTCTAAATTTTTGAACTTTTTCATTTTCCTAAAATCCATAAAATTTTCCGAAAATTTAAACAATTGTCTGAAAATCTAACGAAGTGGAGGAAAAAGAGTTTAATTCATAAAATTTTATTAACATTTCGAGTTTACTATTAGCAACAATTGAAACTTGTAAAAAATTGTCAACCAGGAGCACATTCTCAGCATCTTCTTCTTGGACTCTGGACATGGCAACATAAAGCTGACCATGAAGGAGAAGACATCCGAGTGAAGAACCAATTCATATCCCGTTTGTCCTTGACTTTTGTTGATGGCGAGCGCATATGCCAGTCGAATCGGGTATTGGAGTCTTCAGAATCCACAAGAGTTGGTTCCATTTTTGCTTTGAGTGTTCAGCATTCGGTGCAAGTAAACTGTGTCCGGCGAGTAAGAAGTTGGAGGTTGACAGAGAAATGGATTATCTGAAAAGAAAGAAAAATTAGGAAAAATGATTACTGTAGTTCAAAAATTTTAGTTTGTGTTAGAATGAGAAATTTAAAATATCTAGAAGATAAAAAAAACATTTACGTCATCTCCAAAGGTCCTAATTTTGAATCATCTAGTTGTTTATATCCAATCGTTTTCAAAATAGCGACTTTTGGAAACTCAGTCCACACCATCATATTTTTAGTTGAATATTCCAACTTTTGGTGTGCTTTTCCTGTTTTCCACCGTTTCAAAAACCAGACCAATTTTGCAAATTCAAATTCTAGACTGCATTCTATATCAGCTTGGTTGCCTTCCATATGTCAATCTGTTGTCGGCATTATCGGTTGAGCGAATAAGTTCTGGCATGTCTGTTCAGCTTCTGGGTCGCATCAGTGTTGACGATTCCTCCACGCAATTTGGATAAAATGCAGTCGTCCAGGGGGAAATTCTCAGGAAATCAGAAGAAAGGATCCCAATCGGGGTTCCATTTAGGGGTATTGGGCATCGAGGCACACTTGGTGGAGTACAGGTCAATCCAGAATGTTCTAGACAGATCTAAACCATTCCAGACAGGTCAAGTATAGACTTGGTCTATCCATACCACTATCAGAGAGAACATCGAATGCCAATGATTTTGGGAGTCTACTGGGGCCTTATATAGGGGCTGCCCAGGTGGGCGTGGCCAGGTGGGTACGACCATAAATGCGAATAACGGGGGAAACCAGTGCTCCGGGGAAGGAGAGGTAGGGACAGGTAAAGACGAAAGTCGCATTGTGTACTGTTTTCTTGTTTTATTGATGTGTTTATGACCCATAGCTACAGTAATAATTGTCTGACGTCTTCACATGCTCAGCGGCGCATCCTTTGATAGGAAGAAAGAAGATGACAAAGATGGAAGGACTGCTCGACGATGAGTTCTTGGAAGGATTCTGAAGAGTGGGAAGAGAAAAAGAGCTGAGGTAAACACCCAACTCGACAAGTTAGACACACAGAGGGACCTAACATCCTTTTCATAAACATGTTCAGTACAGTACACAAGTATAAAAGTAGGATTTATTGATAAAGTGTTAGTGAAGTTTTGCATTTAAGTTTCAACAAAATAAAAGAACTTCAATTCAGAAAAAAGATTAAATTTAAAAAGAAAAAATTTCGTCTTGCTCTTGCTTTTCTTGCTGAATCCATCTCCTATGCTCATGCTATCTTCTGATTCCTTCCTCAATCCTCATTGTTCTTTCTACTTCATAACACAAATTCCTACTGTGAATTTCCTCGCACTCGTAGCAAATATTCATTATTTTTTCGAGTTTCGAAGTTTCGAAAATTGTAGATCTTATTTCCGCCCATTGTGCAGCCGAGAATAAGTCGCTCAACTCCTCGATGTCTCTGCAAAAATATATTATGTATTATGACAAGTTGACATTTTTAATTGTATTTCAATTAACTTACGCGATTGTTAAATTTTCAGCCTTTTGCATTTTTAACATTGCATCTTGAAGCAATGTGATTTGCTTCTCTACGTGGGGCTTATAGAAGAAAGAATCATATAAGTTTTGCCCAAGCACATAGAAGGCAAACCCAATGGTGACTACAGCTCCGATTACGGCCGTTGATCGAGAAGTCCGAATTTTCGAATCCATTCGACTGGAACCTATAAATTTGGTAATTAGGAAATATTTTGAAAAAAAAAGGAATTAAAAATTACTTTTGCATTTGCCGGATAACATTTTATTGAAGGGGTGAGACTTATCGTAGTTCATCGAAATGTGGTAGATTTCACATCCAGTTGCTCCATTCACCAAACGATCTCTATCGACCTTCTCTTTGCCAGCTTTCGAAATGGTCCACGTCTGCCACGGCTTCCTCAGAACACTCCCTCTGTTTTCATGCATCAAATGGCTGCGCCTTTTTTTGTTGGTAATCGATGTTATCAACGGCACCAATTGTCATTGTCTTTATTCAAATTGCTGAAAATTTTATAACTTTTAGAAGTATATTCATCTCAAAAATCAACTTACTTTTGAATACATGAAAAAGATCTCCAAACATCACTAGCCGCTTTTTCCTCCAAACTTGCGTGCGATGGTTTGCACAATTCCAATTCAAAAAGGATTGTGTGGCAGTGGAGAATAGACGAGCATAGCAGGTGTGATAATACATTATTAGAAAAATAATGCCACAATATAAGGTGAAATTTCCAGGAAAATTAAAAGAAAGGATCCCAATCGGGGTTCCAGGAAGGGGAAGTGGATATCCAGAAAAATAGAGAATAAGGATCCCAGTCGGGGTTCCATAGATAAGAATCGAAACACTTCTACTGGGGGTATAGATCGATCCAACCTAGTCAAGTCTAGAAATCAATCTATACCACCATCAGAGAGAGCACCGAATGCCAATGAATTTGGGTGTCTGCTGGGGCCTTATATAGGGGCAACCCAGGTGGGCGTGGCCAGGTGGGTACCACCATAAATGCGAATAACGGGGGAAACCAGTGCTCCGGGGAAGGAGAGGGATGGTAAAGTCTACTGTCTTCTGAACATCTTGATGTGTTTATGACACCGTAACTACTGTAGAACGGGCTGACGTCTTTACCTGCCTCCCCAAGAGCACGTAAGACTTTTGAGGACATCTGAAGACGTCAGGCTGATCCACAAACAAAACAACTCCTTCAGATTACATACAGTGCCTTCTGATTATCTATAGTGGTGTTTACTGAGTGCTAAAATACACAATTTCAAAAAACTGGAATCTCGAGCATCCCGGAGATTTTCCATTTTCTTGTATTTTTATTCTATGACTTTGATTTCAAAAAAGTACAAGTTACACTGAAAAATCATAAATTTTAATGTAATTTAATATCATCTCAAAGTCCATCTTTTCGAATCAATCGCGTGTTTCCGTCTTCTCTGACCCGGCCCAAGAGAAAAAGAAGATAACACATTTTGGACGATCTATACCCCACTGAGAGTGCTTTGATGACCAAGATTTGCAAAACTCAGTTGCAACAAAACGGAGTTTATTGACATATTATCATGTAAGTCACGTGTCCAAAACTGAGACTAAGTTGATTTAGGTCAGCCGGTTTCGCGCCCATGTAGCTCAGCCGCTAGCGTCGCTGTACCCCTGATCGTTTCCTCATCAGTTCAACTCCTCATGGGGGTTTGCTCGGCAAAATAATATCTAGAAAACTTTTTTTAGTGTCTTGCTTTCTCTTGGTCTATCCATACCACTATCAGAGAGAACATCGAATGCCAATGATTTTGGGAGTCTACTGGGGCCTTATATAGGGGCTGCCCAGGTGGGCGTGGCCAGGTGGGTACGACCATAAATGCGAATAACGGGGGAAACCAGTGCTCCGGGGAAGGAGAGGTAGGGACAGGTAAAGACGAAAGTCGCATTGTGTACTGTTTTCTTGTTTTATTGATGTGTTTATGACCCATAGCTACAGTAATAATTGTCTGACGTCTTCACATGCTCAGCGGCGCATCCTTTGATAGGAAGAAAGAAGATGACAAAGATGGAAGGACTGCTCGACGATGAGTTCTTGGAAGGATTCTGAAGAATAGGGAAGAGAAAAAGAGCTGAGGTAAACACCCACCTCGACAAGTTAGACACACAGAGGGACCTAACACCCTTTTCATAAACATGTTCAGTACAGTACACAAGTATAAAAGTAGGATTTATTGATAAAGTGTTAGTGAAGTTTTGCATTTAAGTTTCAACAAAATAAAAGAACTTCAATACAGAAAAAAAGGTTAAATTTAAAGGTGGTGTACGGTGAAATTTTTTATTGCATCAAAATGTGCAGAAATGCATGTAGATTGACTTAAAAATAAAGAAAAAATTCAAAAAAAATTTCTTCATCGAGAAAAACGCATCGAAAAATACGCTGAAAGCCCTTAGGGACGAGGTTTTTTCTAGGCCGCCCGGTGAGTAAAAGCGCGCGAATTCAAACTTTTAAAATTTTTTCGCTCGTTTTCACTTTTTTTCGGTTTTTTCAAGAGTTTTCTAGGTTTTTGTCAATTTTTCTTCCAGATACATCGGAAAATTTGAAAAAAAGTGAAAACGAGCGAAAAAATTTTAAAAGTTTGAATACGCGCGCTTTTATTCACCGGGCGGCCTAGAAAAACCTCGTCCCTAAGGGCTTTCAGCGTATTTTTCGATGCGTTTTTCTCGATGAAGGAATTTTTTGAATTTTTTCTTTATTTTTATGTCAATCTACATGCATTTCTGCACATTTTGTTGCAATAAAAAATTTCATCGTACACCACCTTTAAAAAGAAAAAATTTCGTCTTGCTCTTGCTTTTCTTGCTGAATCCATCTCCTATGCTCATGCTGTCTTCTATTCCTTCCTCAATCCTCATTGTTCTTTCTACTTCATAACACAAATTCCTACTGTGAATTTCCTCGCACTCGTAGCAAATGTGTGGGTGTTTATGGTATTGGTTCACTCTGCACGCTTGTTCTGTGTGGTTCCTTGGGTTCAGACATATCTTGCACAATTTTTGGAACAAAATTCCCCGAAAATATCTTTCGGGAAACTTTTCGGGAGCCCGATTCCTCGAAAAACAAATTCGGGAAAAAATCTGGTAGATTGAAAAAGAAAGCAAGACACTAAAAAAAGTTTTCTAGATATTATTTTGCCGAGCAAACCCCCATGAGGAGTTGAACTGATGAGGAAACGATCAGGGGTACAGCGACGCTAGCGGCTGAGCTACATGGGCGCGAAACCGGCTGACCTAAATCAACTTAGTCTCAGTTTTGGACACGTGACTTACATGATAATATGTCAATAAACTCCGTTTTGTTGCAACTGAGTTTTTGCAATCTTGGTCATCAAAGCACTCTCAGTGGGGTATAGATCGAATCCAAATGTGGTATCTTCTTTTTCTCTTGGGGCGGGTCAGAGAAGAGGAAACACCGATTGATTCGAAAGATGGACTTTGAGATGATATTAAATTACATTAAAATTTATGATTTTTCAGTGTAACTTGTACTTTTTTGAAATCAAAGTCATAGAATAAAAATACAAGAAAATGGAAAATCTCCGGGATGCTCGAGATTCCAGTTTTTTGAAATTGTGTATTTTAGCACTCAGTAAACACCACTATAGATAATCAGAAGGCACTGTATGTAATCTGAAGGAGTTGTTTTGTTTGTGGATCAGCCTGACGTCTTCAGATGTCCTCAAAAGTCTTACGTGCTCTTGGGGAGGCAGGTAAAGACGTCAGCCCGTTCTACAGTAGTTACGGTGTCATAAACACATCAAGATGTTCAGAAGACAGTAGACTTTACCATCCCTCTCCTTCCCCGGAGCACTGGTTTCCCCCGTTATTCGCATTTATGGTGGTACCCACCTGGCCACGCCCACCTGGGTTGCCCCTATATAAGGCCCCAGCAGACACCCAAATTCATTGGCATTCGGTGCTCTCTCTGATGGTGGTATAGATTGATTTCTAGACTTGACTAGGTTGGATCGATCTATACCCCCAGTAGAAGTGTTTCGATTCTTATCTATGGAACCCCGACTGGGATCCTTATTCTCTATTTTTCTGGATATCCACTTCCCCTTCCTGGAACCCCGATTGGGATCCTTTCTTTTAATTTTCCTGGAAATTTCACCTTATATTGTGGCATTATTTTTCTAATAATGTATTATCACACCTGCTATGCTCGTCTATTCTCCACTGCCACACAATCCTTTTTGAATTGGAATTGTGCAAACCATCGCACGCAAGTTTGGAGGAAAAAGCGGCTAGTGATGTTTGGAGATCTTTTTCATGTATTCAAAAGTAAGTTGATTTTTGAGATGAATATACTTCTAAAAGTTATAAAATTTTCAGCAATTTGAATAAAGACAATGACAATTGGTGCCGTTGATAACATCGATTACCAACAAAAAAAGGCGCAGCCATTTGATGCATGAAAACAGAGGGAGTGTTCTGAGGAAGCCGTGGCAGACGTGGACCATTTCGAAAGCTGGCAAGGTCGAAAGAAAATTGCCCAAGGACCAGTCACCACCACCAGGCTCCACATATGCCGATACAAAAAAAACCAAGGAGGCATGCCCGCTCAATTAACGGTCGCAGTTGGGGCTCGATTCATGCTGCGGAGAAACATGAGTATTAGAGATCGTTTGGTGAATGGAGCAACTGGACATATCACTGAGTTGAAGATGAAAGACGAAAAGGTAGAATACATATTTGTTCAGTTTGGCGGAACAACTGTTTCTGTGCCCATCCGGATAATGGCTGCTCCATTTCTCCACAGAGATACCGTTATGATCCGAGAGCAGTTTCCTCTGGTTATTGCCTATGGTGCCACTATTCACAAATCCCAAGGACTCACTTTGAGAAATGTTGTCGTTCGTTCTCGAAACATTTTCCAAGCTGGAATGTTCTATGTAGCTGTTAGTCGTGTCACCTCTTTGAAAGGACTTCATTTGGCTGGATTGCATACAAACAAGATAATTTTCGATGAAGATGCATCAAAAGAAGCGAACAGGCTCCGTTCAACTCTGAATCCTCCATTGTCGCCATTACAATGTGGAGTAAATCCGAAGAAGAATATGTCGGATTACTACGAAGCAGCCAATGATTCCAAACAAGCAGCATAGAAGAAAACGGATTCATTTGAATATTCAGAAAATATTTCGTCCTAATAAATTTCTTTTTGATAATATAACTTTTTCTTGTTTGAAAAATCACATGGAAGATTATCAAGTATTACGATTCTGAACATCAATTCTAATTTTTCAACGAATTCTACAAGTCCTTAAACATTTGAACGTAACATCGGAGGCTCAGCTACATAGTCGCAAAGAATACAATTTGTTGTTTGCAGTGATTTTTCATCTTTAATTGAGCCCCTAATTACAACAAGAGTGCTTTGCATTGATTAAATAAGGGAGCACAAATATGATATTCTTTTTTTTCCAGCCCCAATTATTTTAGGTCCCATGAGAGATATAAAAAAGAGCTAACGATGCTTGCGACAACTTTTTAGAGACATCGAGACAACGAAAGTCAAGTGCACTGTTTTTTTCTGTCAGTCTGATTTTTTTGGAATTTGTTTCTTTCTGGAAGTCTGTGAAAAAAATCATTTTTTCAATTTCAATATTTATTCGAATTTAAGAGGAAAATTAAATAAAAAATTAAATGGCATATCCTATGTTCCAGCTGAAAAGGAAACTATTTTAATCTAAAAGTCGGGAAAAAAAATTAACTTAGTTCATTGTGGAATATCTGTATTCCTGGTTCATATACAGTCGCTCTGGAAAAAATGATATAAATAACGAAATTCCAAAATTTCGAAATTCCAGAATTTCCGAATTTCCTGAAATAATTGTTTGAGAATTTTTGGAAATACAAAAAATGTTCGGAATTCGGGAAATTCGGAATGTGCTTAAATTTCAAATTTGCTCTAACTCACATTTTAAGTGTCAATCCTTTTTTTCCCAAAAAATCAACCATATGTGCAGATGTCGCCATAGTCTTGCTCATGGTTTTTCGACAGAAAAATCTGAAAATTAAAAGAAAATCTTTGGCCAAAAATTGTATAAAAACTCACCATATTTTCAGCAATCATATGATTTTTTAGAGATTAGAATATTTTAGGAAATTTCAGAAAAATTAAAAAATAGGGACTCGATAAATCAGATTAGAGTCAAAATAAAAACGCTATATATATATAACTTGTTTTCTCAGAAAAATCATTTTTTGAGGCTCGAAAAGTCAGGTTAGAGCCAGAGAAGTGGAAATATGTATAGAATGAAAAAAAATAAAAAAAATTCTTTTACACACTCTCTCGTCCTGCTTTTTTCTGGGAATGTGCTGAGCACATTGTGCTCTGGGAATGCTCTCTCTTTTTCATCTTTTTCTAAACTTTTTAGCGAGAAAAGAGAATCGAAAAATTCAGACAATTAAAACTTCAAAAATTCTAGAAGTTTAAGAATCTGGATCCTGGAAAACCCTGGAAAAAAACCAAAATCACAAAAACAGCCGTCTGGAGAAACAAAAGAATGTGGAGGTGGAAACAAAGAAAAACAAATGAAATCATTGATGATTCATATTTGAGAAAGATGATATTTGAAAGAAATATCAGAAAGAAGAAAGATGTTTCAATTTTGAAATAGTACTCAAGTGGGTACATTGTTCTATCTTGGTTGCTGACGAGGATGGTGTCTCTGATGATTCTCGAAGAAGATGCATCCCTCTTCTTTTGGCTCACGGGTGGTTGTTGAAGTTGGTGTCTTGGGACGTCACAGATGGATGTGTGGTGGTCCTCCTGGCTGGCATCTGTGTCTTCGATCCAGACGCCTCCTGCAGTGGTTCAATTCTTGAGCAATTGTCTGAAATGGTGTCCATCGCATCGTCTCTTCATTCGTTGCACCGGCTGGAGGTAAATGTTTCTAGCCACTCTAGAAACAGGAACTGCTTCTGTAGCTTCCGGTGTCCTCCTTGTGGTGGCATCATCGGCTCCGTGGTGGTGGCATCATCACCGTGGATTTTACCCTAGGTGTAGGGTATTCCTCGCTCTCTTCGTCGAAAAGGATCCTCTGCTCCGTATATCCCGCGAATCGGAAAAATCTAAATTTTTTTTAAATCAAAAATTCGAAAAACTTACATTCATAACCTCGATTTCGGCAGTCTTTAGAACCGTGAATAGAAAAATTGTTTTTTTGAAGCTTGAAAATTAAACTTACTTTTTTCAGAGAATCTACGGATTTCAGTTAGAAATTTAAAAAAAATATTAATTCAGAAAAATAAATGATTAGAGGCTCGAGAAATCAGATTAGAGCCAGTGATTTATAGATTGGATCATTCTTTTTTCGCTTTGATCAAAAAAGTTCTGCAATCTCCTTGTTTCCTACACTATTTTTTCCAATAATATTTTCTTATCAGTTTCTCTGAGCATCTTGAGACACTACGCTATTTCATCTTAAACAAAAAAAAATGAAAACCTACAAACTACAAAGCACGACATGTCAATTGGAATCAATCACTGCTAACTGTCTCTTGATATATTTTTATAATCGATTTAAAAAAAAATGAGACCTCCAAAATTGAAATCAAAATGTGCGATTTGTTCAGGAGATGGGGATGGGTACCATTTTGGAGCCGAAGCTTGCAAGTGAGTTTTTTTGTCTGTGTAGCTAGCATGGAATGACTCCCAAGTGTTACCCTCGAAAAAAATCGAGACCTATATGGTTGGATAGAGAATAAAAAGTTATTTTAGATTCTAAACGGAATAGTTGGTAAAAATTTTTTTTTGGGAGTTATGGTCCAAAAAGTACCAAAAAATGCCTAAATTTTCAAAAAATCATAACTTTGTCAGTTTATGTCCGTTTGTGGAAATTCAAAAAAACAGTAGATAGACAATTAATTGGACATTTGAAAACTAAAATTTTAATTTTTTTTCCTATTGATTGGATTATTGATTTTTTGAAAAAATCAAAAAATTTTTCAATATCTCAAAAATCCTAGGTTAACTTTTTTTCATTATGACCATCAAATTCAGCACATTTGGCTTACTATAGAAACATATCAATACCCCGGGGGAAATCATGCTCACACAAGTTATGCCGAAAAATATCGATTTTTGGTACTTGGCTTCTTTGATTCGTTGTCCTCGGCGTCCGGTATGATGAGGGGCATACTTGTTTTTGTAATTTTTACTTGCGTATCGTTAGCCTAGAGTGTTTGAAATATAATCCTGCGACATACAAAGTCAATTTTTCAAATGCCGTACCATTTCTTAAAATCATCACCTTGAAAAAAGCAAAATTTTGACATGTGACAGGGCACATCTATAGTTTTTCAAAAAATCAATAAACCAATCAACAGGAAAAAAATTAAAATTTTAGTTCTCAAATGTTCAATTAATTGTCTATCTACTGTTTTTCAAATTTCAACAAACGGACATAAACTGACAAAGTTATGATTTTTTGAAAATTTAGGCATTTTTTGGTACTTTTTGGACCATAACTCCCAAAAAAAAAATTTTACCAACTATTCCGCTTGGGATCTAAAATAACTTTTTACGCTCTATCCAACCATATAGGTCTCGATTTTTTTCACTTGGGAGTCATTCCATGTAAGCTGATTGCAACTTTTAGCTCGAATTTTTCAGAGCCTGCACCGCATTTTTCCGAAGAAGTATACAGCTGAAAAAGACTTTCAAGTGTAGAGGAAACGACGATTGTAATGTGACGATTAGTGAGTTCTCTTTAAAGATTTGTATCTTTCTTCAAAATTGATAGTTTCGATTGGAATAAATTGGAAAATGTAGGTCTTGAATAGTTCTACAAAATGAACTATTTTGATATAATTTTCTGAGTATTCGTGTAAGGGAAGCTCGTAAAGTGTGGGGTGTAATTAGAGCAAGGAGGGAGGCAAGCGTCAGCTGTGACCGCGTAGCTCAGCAGGTAGTGATTATTTTTATTTGTATTAATATGTAAAATGTAGATCTTAAGAAGTTCTACAAAATTACCGTAAAACCTCTAATAGAACGACACCCGGATCGTCCACTTTGAGCCTATATATCTCATTCTCTGTGAAAGATATCAAAAAGTGGCTAACTAGTAAAATGTTGCTGATATCCTGATAAGCATTTTACTAGTTAATCACTTCTGTTGATATCTTTCAAAAGAAGTGAGATATATAGGCTCAAAGTGAACGATCCGGGTGTCGTTCTATTAGAGGTTTTACGGTATCTAAAAATTTAATCATTTGAGTGTTTCCTACTTCTTTTATGAGAATTTGCAAAAACACTGATCGCTAGAACCAGTAGTGTCTCAAAAAGCTCTACAAAACCATATAAATTACAATAAAGTCCTATAAGCATTAGAGTAAGTAAAAGCTTCTAAAGTGTAGAGTGCAGTTTGAGCAAGAACAGCGGTAAGCATCGAATGTAACCGCGTGACTCAGCCGGTAGTGATTATTTTAGAATACTTTAAACAGTAAAATCTAAGTCTTGAAAAACTATACAAAATGATATAGAATTCAATAACCATACAAGCCAGAGTTTTGGGCAAGAACTTCTTGAAGATAAGAATTCTTTAAAGGTTTTCTGAAGTCGTCACTACTCAAGTTTCAGTAACAATCCCTATTTTTCCAGGTGTTCGCTGCATGTGTCGTTCTTGCCGATTCTCAAAATGCCTTCAAGTTGGAATGAATCCAATGGGTGTTCAACTGAAAATCGGCTCCAATACAGAGGACGTCCCAGACACGTCTTCAAATTCTGAATCCTCACTCCTGCTGGTCTTACCTGAACCCTACAATGATTCCATGCCTCTTCTAACAAAAATGAGAGTCAATTATGAGAAACTAATCAGTGCCAGACGTATCATGCATAACAAGGGTGGTCACAATTTATTCAAAGAACAAGTTTCAATGCCGTCAACTTATAAAGTGTGTATTGATGAGGGAATTAAAGACGTTTCCTTGACAGCTGATTGGATTTCTTGGTGTTTTGAGGACTTTTCGAGGCTTCCGATAGAGCAGAAGGTAAATTTAAATAATAAAAAAGATTTCTCCCCGGCCGGGAATTGAACCCGGGTCTCGCATGTGACAGACGCGGATACTCACCACTACACAGGTAGAGGGGGACTGCTGAAAAACTGCTAAATGACAGCTGAAGAGGCGCAAACTGGCGAATGAATGCTAGTGGGCAGCCGAAGGAGAACTGACGGGCCGTCGACGGTCCGTCGACGGACAGTCGGAACCCGTTGGAAAACAGACTTGAAGGTTTTCATTGAAAATCATTCAGAAAACAATTACTCATACCCCCACTAGATTATAGGAAATGACAGATTCTTATTTTCCTAAAATAGGACCACCTCAAAAAATAGGTTGTTGAACGACTGCTGAATGACAGTCGAAGAGGCACTGACTGGTCAATGACCGGTGGTTGGCGGGCCAAATTTCTTCAGAATGAAAAATTTGGTTGAAAAAAGATGTTTCTCTTAAAACATGATAAAAGTCATAGAGGGATCTGGGAATCTATAAAATGAGTTATTAGAAGCACTTCTACAAAAATTAGAATCTGAGGCGCGATTGGTGAAAAACGGCTAAATGACAGTCGAAGAGGCGCTGACTGGTGGATGGCGGCTGGAAAAAAAACGCTGTAAAATGAATTTCTGAATGTTTCTGGGTATCCATCTAAAAGCATGTTTTCGCATTTTCTGTTAAAATATCGTAACTGGAGTTGTCATTTCGTGATAATAATCCTCCGATTAAGGCACGTGTTTCCGGTCATACTTTTCCCATTTTCTGAAGAGTTCCGACGAAATTTTTTTTTTTGAAAACGTTGTACAATTTTTGTCTGCAAATGCTGTTCTCTTTTTGTTTCTTTTTCTTCAAAAATCTCGACCATTCGTTTTTAATTGCCGTTTTAGCTGACGAGTTTCGGAATTTCGGTTCGCAACGACACTCCGAAATCCCGCCTGCGCCTTGTTTAGCGACACAAGACTCAACGAATTTCTCGTCTAATTTTCACAGTTTTTTTTTCGTTTTTCGAAGTGTCATTTCTCATCAATTTTACTTATTCTGAAAGAAAGTCATATAAAAGCGGAAAATACTGTTCAATGAGAGAAATGCTGAGAACCGAAAGAAATTGGAAACGAGAAACGAAGAAGGAAAAAAGAACAAAAGGAACGAGAAAAAATCTTCGCATTTTAAAATTTGAATTTTTATAAAGTTGGAAATTTGCGAAAACACAAAAAGAAAATCGAAGTTCTGTTCCCTATAGAATTTGTAATTTCTTATGTGTTTTCTCTCATTCTAATCATAAAAATTCAACTTTGAAAAATTTGGAGTTATTTTTTCAATACAATACACAATCAACAGAAACTATTAGTTTAATAAAGAATTTCTATTGTTTATTACCTATTTAATGATGAACTGCCAAGAAAGCGCTATCATTTTTGACGGCCCGTCTTCGAGGCGCAAATCGTTGCAGACGGACCGTCGGCGGCGCGCGATTCGACTGCCGACTGCTCGCTTTTCGGCAGTCCGCGCCCGCCAGACGGCCTGTTTTTCGGCAGTCCCCCTCTACCTGTGTATACTACCGAGGACACGGCGAGAGGAGGTCGGGAGTGCGCATAAGAAAGGAGAGGAAAGGGGAGCGGCGGAGAGTGGGGAGGAGAAAGACAATAACCTGCAAGTAGGAAAAAAATAATAAAATTTCAGCACATTCTATTCCGAAACTTCTACACACCGTTTTTCATCTTGGAAAGTGCATTTATGAGTCATTTAAAGAATACTCCCGATTTCTTCGTCTTTCCATCTGGAAATTACGTCGATATAAACGATTTGGAATCGTTTTATAAGGATGTGGAGATTAATCAAAAAATGACAAGGGAGCAGTTTTTAGAGTGAGTTTTCAAGAGTTTGTTTTAGGAATTTTCAACAAATGGTGTTTTTTTTGAAATACAAGAGTTTAAGTGAAGTAAACATCAAACTTAGTCCAGGTAAAAAGTTCAAAAGCTTGAAAAACGGAAACTTTGAACGCTTAAAAAAACAATTTAAAATCTTGAAAATCAATTTGAATTTATATAAACTGTATTGAAAAAACCAAAAGCTTCAATTATGTAGTTGACAACTTTTTTGTACAACTTCATCTAAACGAGATATGGCTGCTGGAACTAGAGAATGAACGTTTTGTTGTGAAATAAGTTAGTTTTCTTTAAAGCTTTGTATCTTTCTTCAAAATCAGTGTTTTTGATTGATCTAAATTGGAAAATGTAGGTCTTAAAATTTTCTACAAAATAATATAAAGTTTAATAAATTATTATCATTTTTCGGGTAAGTGAGAACTCCTAAAGTGTGGGTTGCAGTTTGAGAAGGAAAAATCGCAAGCGTCGGCTGTAACCGCGTAGCTCAGTCTGTAATGAGTACTTTTGGTTGATTTAAAAAGTGAATTGTAGGCCTTAAAAAGTTCTACAACATGATATACAGTTCAGTATAACTCAATAAATATTTGTGTGAGTGAGAGCCCCTAAAGTGTAGGCTGCAGTAAAAGCGGCCAGCTAACGCTCGCTATGGCTCCTTCCACGTGTCATATCTCTTTAGTCTTAATATTTACAAAAAAATTGTCAACTACAAAAATAAAGCTCTAGTTTCGATTAATATATTCGGAAATTTTCAAAAATTTTGAGTTGTTTTGAGCTGAGTTATAGCTAATTGAAATTTAAAAATTTTCAGCTTAAAAAATCTAAATGGTAAAAAAAAAGACGATCTCACAAATTATTCAAATACGGTTTCCGATTTTTTTTTCAATTTCAGATTTTTGAAGCCAACCTACGAAATGCACCGCCGGACCATCATCCAACCAATGATGTCAGAAAATCTGGATATTTTCGAATTTTTCGCACTAACCAGTTTCGTTCTCTGGAACACAACTCTCGAGGAAACCACAGAAGAATGTTCTAGAATCGGAAAATCAATAAAGGATCAAATAATGAAGGAGTTGTCGTTCTATATGAGAAATTTCAAAAGGATTGAGGACCCAGTTATCCGAGTAGCAGGAATTTTGAATCTGATACCTGATTTGTATAAAAATACGAGAAGGATTCAAGACGAAACGGAGATAATTCAAGTTTTTGATTTTTATAATTCACCCAAACAATTGTATGATTTGGTCCATGGCAATTTTTGTTAGGTACAAATAAAAATGCGTCTTTTTTCTCTGCGTCTCTCATCTCTCAGGCTACATTGCCAACAACCACTACATCATTGTCTTATCAGTCTGTCATAGTCTTTTGCTGTATTGATTTTCCCATTTTTATAAAAATGAGAATCCCAAAAACCAACTCAAAATGTGCGATTTGTCTAGAAGATGGAGATGGATTCCATTTTGGAGCCGAAGCTTGCAAGTGAGATTTTTTTTTGAATCATGTAGCTTGTCTTTCAAATTCTCAGAGCCTGTGCAGCATTTTTCCGAAGAAGTATTTCGCAGACAAAACGATACGTTTGTAGAGGAAATGGCGATTGTGATGTGACGATTAGTGAGTTTTCTTTGAAGCTTTGTATCTCATGTCAAAATTAGTATTTTTGACTGGTTCGAATTGTAAAATGTAGGTCTTGAAAAGCTCTACAAAATGATATAAATTTTAATAAACGGTCATACATATTACGGTAAGTGAGAGTTCCTAAAGTGCGGGGTGCAGTGGCAAGAGTAGGTTGTCATTTCGTAGCTCAGCTGGTAGTAGTTGTTTCTGAATGATTCAACTTACAAAATTTAGATCTTTAAAAGCTCTACAAAATATTTTTTTCATAAATAATGCACATATTTGAGAGGTTGGAAGCTTCTAAAGTGTGTTATGCAGTTAGACCAACAAGGTAGGCAAGCGTCGGCTGTGGCCGCGTACAGCCGGTACCAGATACTTTTGACTGATTTAAAAAGCATAATGTAGATCTTGAAAAACTCTACAAAACTATATAAATTTTAATAAAAACTAATTATCAGAACCTTTATCAGTGCCCGAGCAAAAAAAGCGGATACTTTAAATGTTCGCCATCTTATACTTTAACTTTAAGCTCAATTATCTCGGCCCCTATAAAAGATATCAAAAATGTGTCTACTGATAAAATATTAATCCTCATATCACCACCATTTTTTATGTTTACAGTTTTATGATATCTCAAACGGGAACCGAGATAATTGAGTTTGTATTTGCCATCTCCAATTTTTCCAGACATCCGTTGCATGTGTCGTTCTTGTCGATTCTCAAAATGCCTTCAAGTCGGGATGAATCCAATGGGTGTTCAACTGAAAAAGGAATCTCCCAAATCTCCAATTCCGGACTTGACACCTTCAATTCCAACATCATCTTCTTCAAATCCCACGCGACGCTCTCTTCTCCTTTTGGACCTCCCTGAATCCTACAACGATTCCATGCCATTGCTCACCAGAATGAGAACGAACTGGCAAAAACTGACGAACGCTAGATTAGTGATTCATAAAAACGAAGGTCAAAGTTTGTTCGAGAAACGGGTTTCAAGAGCCATCGATTATAAGGAATGTATAAATCAAGGCATGAAGGATGTCGCGTTGACATCTGATTGGATTTCTTGGTGTTTCGAGGACTTTGTGAAGCTTCCAATAGAGCAGAAGGTAAATTTAAAAAAGAAAAAAAGATTTCTCCCCGGCCGGGAATTGAACCCGGGTCTCGCATGTGACAGACGCGGATACTCACCACTATACTACCGAGGACATGGCCGAGTTAAGATTGGGAGTGTGTATAAGAAAGAGGGGGAAACGGGAGCGGCGGAGAGTAGGCACATGGAACATAGGGGGAGCAAAAAAAGATTTTTGAAAATTTTCAAAAAAAAATCCCAAATGTTTCAGAGTGCTCTATTCCGCAGCTTCTACACATCATATTACATTCTAGAAGGAGCATTTATGAGTCAATTGAACAATCGAGCGGATGCAATATTCTTTCCATCCGGGGACTACATTGACATGAATCAATTGGAGCTATTTTACAAGACAATAGATTTTAAGCAACCATTGGAGAAGGAGCAGATTGATGAGTGAGTTTTTATGGGGGATATGGGGTCATGTATGGTATCTTGGTACCATGAGAAAGTCCATATCTTGCAATATTGATAAGTAACCTTTTTCAATAGATTCCTATCGAGTACCATAGCGCTTAAGTGATAAAAATATTGCAATTGGTACCATAATGTACTATTACGCTTCCCATAGTAAACGATATCATATAGATATATATTGTAACAGTACCACAAGAACATCAGAAAATCCATAATGAAAACCAGAACCGCTTGATGAACCATATGGCAGCAATGTTACCATTACTATACGGAGGGAATGTTCCCCATTTTTCTGGGTGTATGGTACCATTATGGTATCCATATGGCCCTATTATAGCACACATATGGTACTTGTTATGGTAGCCCATATGATACCATTATGATACCCATATGTTACTTATCACGGTACCTGTATGGTATCATCATATTACCCGATACCCAATAATGATTTGATTTCAGTATCTTCAAACCGTCATTCTTAATGAATCAACGAATTCTTATCAAACCAATGATGTCTGAAAATCTAGATATTTTCGAATATTTCTCCTTAACCACGTACCTTCTATGGGACACAACTCTAGAAGAAACATCTGAAGAATGTTCGAGAACTGGAAAACGCGTCAAGGATCAAGTGATGAAGGAGCTGTCGTTCTATATGAAAAATGTCAAAAAAATCGAGGAACCTGGGATTCGAATTGCCGCTATTGTGAACCTTCTTCCAGCGGTTTTCAAGAGTGCGCGGAGGATTCAAGACGATTTAGAGATTACTAAGATTTTCAATATTTATAAAGCTTCTGAGGAGTTTTATGATATGGTTAATGGAAAGTTTTGTTGAAATAAAGAGAAATTTGTTTTTTTTAATGCTCAAAATTTTTGATATCTCTCATTTTGAACAGCTCTTGTTTGTGAACAAAAAGAGCAAAAAATTTGGGGCTGAGCAAACGCGCTCCGCTGAACAAAGTCAGAATTTTTAGCTAGAGAGAGTTGAATACCTCGCGATCTAAATTCTGGTTTTTTCGACACAATGCGCTAAAAATCATAAAAATCGGTTGACTTTGAGCTGAGATACAATGATTTGAAGTTTTGAGAGTAAGAAACGCAGAGAAACGAGAATGCTCTCGTTGTCTGCGTCTATCTAGCCAGCTTTAAAGGCGCATAACTTCAATGAAAATTTCAAATTGTTCAAACAGAGCTACAGTAATAGAATACTCCCAAACTGTCAATTTTGAGCCCATATATTTCAATTCTTGTAAAAGATATCAACAAATAGTCAACTGATAAAATGTTAACCATAATATCAGCAACATTTTAGCAGTTGACCACATTTTGATATCATTCACAGGAACCAAGATAAATTGGCTTAAAGTTAGAAGAAGATTATTCTATCAGAGTGCTTACGGTAAATGAGCTCTGCGTTGGTTCTAAGGGACTTGTGCTCATTTTTAGAAGATTCCGAATTTTCGAGGGTTTTGCATTTCAGCGCATCTCATTTCAGTATTTCAAAATTTTCCATTAGATGGGCCCCTTCACTTGCTGTAATGACGTGTAACCGTTTTAACGCTGTCTGTAGCCCATCAAAAACTGTAACTTGTCTTTACCTTGTCCCATTGTCCTTTTGATTCGCCTATAAAACACTGTGGGATACGTCTGTAGGATACTATCCGTATCCCGTCCTCCCCCCCGTACAGAACGGCTCCACCTACCCCTCTTCTCCGTTCCTCCCCATTCCCAAGAGCATTCATTTCCCTTTCATTCGCATTTATGGTAGTCAATAACTGACCACGCCCACCTGGGCAGCCCCTATATAAGGACCCAGCAGACTCCCAAATTCATTGGCATTCGATGTTCTCTCTGGTGGCGGTATGTATTGATCGGGTGTAGTCTTGACTTGACTAGGAATGGTTTAGACCTGTCTAAAACGTTCTAGATCGATCTATACCCCCCCCCCCCCACTAGGAGTACTTTGATGCCTCTATTCTCTATGGAACCCCGATTGGGATCTTTATTCTGTATTATTCTGAATGTCTACTACCCCTTCCTGGAACCCCGATTGGGATCCTTTCTCTTGATTTTCCGGAACGTTTTTTAAATGAAAATCCGAATTCATGTTCAAATTGGAAAAACAGAAACTCCTCAAAGATCTCATGGAGGATATTTTATTCTGGATCAGAATCGGAAAAGGAGGTCCAGGTACTGTTTCAATCTCTGTCTCCGGAAATTAAAAATTTAAATTCTCAGAAATAGTAAGAAAACTCATCGAAAAAATTTACAGATGTATCAGGAGACCACATTTCGGATGATCGTCGCTTGGAGAACTCTAAAAATTTTGTGAATACAACATCAAAAGGGAAGATTAGACGAGTTCATCAAAAAAGGAAGGTACATCCAAGCGGAGAATCAAGAATCGAAACCAAAGATGGAGCACCACCAATTTCAAAAAGGGCAGCAGAAGCCCCCGGACTGTCGGCAGTTTCTCTCCAACCGCTCGATTTCTTCACAAACTCCTCACATGCAAGCTCATTGTATTCCAATACTGCATTTCGTGTTCCCGGAGCATCGGCCTTTGATTACTCGTCTCCAAATCAATGGCAAACATCTTCATATATCACCTCCTCATCCACCCATACTCCAGAATACTCTGATTGGAGCTTACCAACAAATTCGGAAGTTAGAAGAAACGAACCGAATCCATCATTTAGTTGGAACTCCACTCCACAGAATACACAAATGACAACGGATCTGATATCAACTTCACAGTTCCAAGTACAACAAAAATTGATCGAGCAACCAGGTTTCCTTGACGCCAAACGGAGTCAAAGAAAAGAACTCAACAATCAAAATTTGAGTTCTTTATCGATTTGTCTTTTAAATCCTCCCGTGAACAATTCATTCAATCAAGAAATTCGTTTTTGCGATTTGATTCATCTACAGCCAGAACGTTGGTTGAACGAATATTTGATAGAATTTTCGATTGATAGGCTGGCTTCTGAATATTTGAATCCAGAGCAACAGAAAACGGTTCATTTATTCGATACCACCTTCTTCCGGCGCCGAGCTGAAGAAATAGTTACTGCCGTACCCAATAAAACATTGATAACTTTGATTTTCTGAAAATTCTCATTCCCACACTATATTTGGTATCATTCTGAAGCCCTGGAAATTTCCTTCAAACTGATGTCATTGTCATTCATTGTGGCCAACTTTAAAGCAAGTTATGCACCTTTAAAGCTAGATAGAATGACGCAGACAACGAGAGCAGTCTCGTTTCTCTGCGTCTCCCAAAACTTCAAATCATTGTATCTCGGCTCAAAGTCAATCTGTTTTTATGATTTTTAGCGCATTGTGATCCTGGGAATCTGAGAAATCTGGAAAGTTCTGATTTCGGGTCATTCAAGACAAATTCAATAGAACAATTTTAAATTTAAACTAAACATTTTTGGAGTCAACTACGACAATTTTCATTCATTATAAAGCACTTAAAATTCCCTTCAAAATGGTTCAATTTTCATACATCTTGGCAAACGTTGACGCTAGTTATGCGCCTTTAAGCTGGCTAGAGAGACGAAGACAACGAGAGCACTCTTGTCTCTCTGCGTCTCTCGCTCTCAAAACTTCAAATCAGTGTATCTCGGCTCAAAGTCAATCTATTTTAATGATTTTTAGCGCATTGTGATCCTGGGAATCTGAGGAATCTGGAAAGTTCTGATATCGGGTAATTCAAGACAAATTCAATTGAACAATTTTAAATTTAAACTAAACATTTTTGGAGTCAACTACGACTATTTTTTTTCATTATAAAGCACTCAGAATTCCCTTCAAAATGGCGTAATTTTCATTCATTTTGGTCAACGCTAACGCTAGTTATGCGCCTTTAAAGCTGGCTGGCTAGAAGCGCAGACAACGAGAGCAAACTCGTTTCACTTCGTCTCCCAAAACTTCCAATCACTGTATCTCAGCTCAAATTTGACCGATTTTCATGATTTTTAGCGCATTGTGATGCTAAGAATCCAGGGAAACATAGGAATTTAAATTCGAATAATTTGGACCAATTTGATTCAGAAAAACATAAAAAACTGGAGTGCACAACATTCATTTGAATCAATTATCCTTTAATAGTTATAATTCATACACCTTTCGTAATAACAGTAATGATAACGGGGACAATCCCATTTACTCTTGCAGGGGATGTTGGTCGGTGGAAGGGGTGGGTAGTCTGCTGCTTTTGGCTCCAAGACGGGGGTTGGCCTCGACAGAGACCATGGATCCGATCATGATGACGGCCATGAGAACGACGAAGAGCTGGAAATATATGGTTCTGATGGTTCACATTTTTGAAAAAAAATTTACAACATTCTATAAGGTATGTTATTGTTTAAAGGGTCATGCAGCAATCCTACAGTAACCCTACAGTAACCTAAATCTAAACTCTAATCTTGAGATTCTCTGAGACAAATGGTGTTTATAGGATCATGCTAACTAGCTTCTAGGGCCAGACTTTCATGTTTAAAGAGATCTTGAAGCTATAAATCTAAAAATCTCAAGATCAGACTTTTGAAATTTCTCAATAAGTCAGATTTTCTATCATCCGAAAGTACTGGAAATTTCCTTCAAAACAGTGTAATTTTCATTCATTTTGACCTACTTTAACGTCAGTTATGCGCCTTTAAAGCTGGCTAGAGAGACGCAGACAACGAGAGCACTCTTGTTTCTCTGCGTCTCCCAAAACTTCAAATCACTGTAACTCGCCTCAAGATCAGCCGATTTCTATGATTTTTAGTGCATTTCAAAGCTGGAAAACTGGGAAATCAGAAAATTCAATTTTTAACAAAAATCTAAAATGAATTTTTTGGTTCAAAATGCAATATTTTCAGATGGATCATCGCTAATTACTATCATTCAAAAGCGCTTGAAATTCTCTTCAAAACAGTGTAATTTTCATTTATTTTGATCTACATTAACGCTAGTTATGCGCCTTTAAAGCTGGAGAGAGTGAGAGACGCAGACAACGAGAATACACTCATTTCTCTGCGTCTCGCACTCCCAAAACTTCAAATCATCGTAACTCGGCTCAAAATCAGCCGATTTCTATGATTTTTTGTGCATTTTAAAGCTGGGAACCTGGGAAATTCAAACAGACTAAAATGAGGTCAATAAGTATGCCCAAAAGTGTCAAAAAAAAGCTTAGTAGACTTACCGACGAGAAAACCTTCATTTTTCGATTCCGATCGAGACGATTCGAGTCAAATGATAATTTTCGACCTGTCTACTTGGCCCTTTTAAAGGCCGTGTTTTAATCGAATCCGGAGAATAGGCTCCGCCCACCAAAGGTGACTAAACATCAGAAACTTTGCATGCGGGGGGTAGGAGGAATGGGAATTTTCAGAAAAAAAAGTGATCAATGTTTTATTGGGAGAGAAAAAAGATATGGGAAATTTCGAAAAAAAAGGAAAATAGTATAGAAAAAGAAGAGGGTTCAGAGAATGAAATTGGAAAAGTTCGAAAACTACCGTAATCCTAAGGTATCCTACATGCAGTTGTCCTACCGTAATCTCAAAATGGCGTGCCTATAGTAATCTTTCCAACGGCTCTTACCATTCTTCTACAGTGATGAAGTAGACTACAGTGAACTCTACAGGTAACTTCAGCTGTCTTTCCTATAACACCTGCAATAACCCTACAGTAATCCTATAGTAATCCTTACTACAACACCTACCAGCCTTCTACAGTAATCCGGAAGTCAACTACAGTAGCTCTACAGTAATTCCACAGTAACCCTTCAGAAGTATACAGTAACCCTACAGTAATTCTTTGTAAAGTTGTTCAGAATCCCTTAAATTACAATTTTCGAAAATTCTTCTTTTTCGACTTTTCGAATTTCTATGATTTTCAGATTTTCCAGGCTTTGTTTTTTACAGAATTCTTGTTTTTCAGTTGTCCTACAGTAATCCTACTTGCAATGAACTACAGTAACCGTACAGTAACATACAGTAATCCTGTCTATACAGGGTGGCTGAAAAGTATTGAGACACTTGTTATGATGGCTCTTGGCACCGTGCCAAGTCGTATTTTCGAAAAGTTTCGTATTATTTCGAAAATAGGGAGCGTATATAAGCCGACATTAGAGCCATTTCCCATCACTTTATCTCTTCACGAAGTTATGCGAGCTTCTCCTCATCGCCAAACCATTGCCAAGCTGTTCAACGACGGCATCTCCACCGGTGACATCGCTCGAAGACTTCTTCTTCCGAGAGCAACTGTCTATCGAGTTGTGCAACAATTGAAAGATCGAGGACATGTGTTGGAGCTTAAGAAAAGCGGAAGACCTCGTACTGTCAACACTCGCCGGACTCGTGGCATCATCAAGAAGAGAATCACACGAAATGATGCGGTCAGCATGAACCAAATGGCTTCATCGCTCGGAATCTCAAGACAATCGGTTCAATCCATTGTGAAAAAGGACTTGGGTCTGAACAGTTATCGGCTCCTTCGTGGCCAATACCTCACAGAACAGTCCAAGAAGAATCGGCTCGAAAAAGCGAAAAAGTTGCTCGACGCACTCAAGGTGCGCCGCCTCTCTGAAGTCATTTGGACTGATGAGAAAATTTTTCGGTTGAGCCGCTTCCGAACCGACAGAATGCTCGGCAATTGTTGTCAAAGGACGAAGCAAAGTCCCCAAAACGTCGTCTGGCCTACAAGAGACTTTTTCCAAAGTCAGTGATGGTGTGGGCTGGATTGACGTCGGAAGGTAAAGTCCCATTGGTTTTCATTGATAGAAATGTGAAAATCAACTCGGATGTGTACCAAAAGTTGGTGTTGATGGATGTTTTACGTCCGTGGGTCACTAGCCACTTTGGCCAGCAACCCTTCATTCTTCAACAAGATTGGGCCCCGTCCCATGGCTCGAAATCCACGAAAGCTGTTCTCGACGCTCATTTCCCTGGCTACTGGGGCAAGGACATGTGGCCCGCTTCCTCGCCCGATCTGAATCCACTCGACTTTTCCGTTTGGGGATATTTGGAGGAAAAGGTGATGGCTCGATCGCACCCAAATGTGGATTCACTGAAGGCCGCTTTGCTCAAAGCATGGGATGATCTTGACGATGACTACCTCCGGCGCACCGTCGCTTCTGTTCCAGCTCGTTTGAAGGCGTGCATCAAGGCCGAAGGCTCAAACTTCGAATATCTCCTCTGATATCTTTTCTATTACTATCATTTGTTGAAAAAATAAATCTGGTTCTTTTGTTGAAACTCCATTTTTGAAAATACAACAAAAAACAAGTGTCTCAATACTTTTCAGCCACCCTGTAGTGAACTACAGTAACCTTATTTTTTCCATTTCCTTAAAAGTCCAATTTTTCTAAAATTCTATTTTTTTACATTTTGAATTTTCATAATTTTCATATTTTTGGTATTTTCGATTTTCCCTCAATTTTTTCAGATTTTCTAAAAATGCGAAAATTTTTCTTTTGTAATTTTCAACAATACGAAAATAGGGGAAAAAAAAACTTTTTCTGAAAAACCAAAAAAATTCTAAAGATTGAACGACTACAATACGGAATAGTACCATCTTTAGAATTCTTTGAATTTTCAAAATTTTCGGATTTTTTCAATTTTTGATTTGTTGAATTCTAGGGTTCCCAGAATTCTAATTTTTTCGACTTTTTTGATTTTCAGAATTTTCAGAATTGTGGATTTTCGATTGTCCCAAGTTAAAAAAAACCAAAAAATTTCGATTTTTCAAAACTTTGTATTCAGAATCTGAATATTTGGGATAACAACGAAAAAAATAAGGGGATAAAATCCAACAAAAAAAGGGGTAACGAACAAAAATGAATAAGAGAAAAAAGTAACAATTTGAATAACTAGAATTTTCAACAAATAAAAAAAATGGAGAAGAAATTTAAGATCCACTCCAGAATGTCTCTCCAAACTTGTGTTGAAGCGAGTTGATGACTTTTTGGCACTGTGCTTCCACTTGCTTGTTCTCGTCTGGAAAAGAATGAAATTAAGGCTGAGCAATTTAGAATTTTGGGGTCTAAGGGATCCAGAAATGGAGGGTCTAGGCTTAAAATTAAGGCTGCGAGCAATCGAAATTCATTTTCAGCTGGTCTAGAAAGCTCGAAAAGCTATAAATGAGCCTTAAAGCCATCCTCAAGGTACCATAGCGAAAAATACAGTAACCTAAAAATACCCACCTTCAATCAACTCATTCAAGAATGGCAACAGAATCGAAAGATGCGGCTGCACACCATCTCCAATCTCCTTGATGAGCAAATCCAGAACAATGAGTGTACGGTAGCGGATCTTTGGACGAGAGTCACGAGTCTTGAGCATAATCTTGTTGAGCAGTTCTGGGAAGTTGTCCGGATCAGCATTTCCAATACGGTAGATGGCTGCGACCAAATGGTCCGAGCATCGTTTCTCGTGTCCTTCCACCTTCGTGTTGACCAGTTCGTCGACAATCACATCGGAGACCAGTTGGCAGCGGTCACTGAAAATTCTTGGTGTTGATGGATGTGACACAGTAATCCTAGTGTTGCTACTGTAATCCTAAAGTAGCCTACAGTAATCCTATAGTATTCCTACAGTAATATTACAGTAACATTACAGTAGTCCTACAGTGATGCAAAATAATCTACAGTAACTTCAAGTATCCTACAGTAATCCATCCTTAAAATTGGAATATTGCTCAGCTTTCCAGATTCCTTGAATTTCCATTTTTCCCGATTGTCGAAATATCCAACTTTCTTCAAATTTTGAATTTTCCTAGTTTTCAGAATTGCAGAGTTTCAAAAATCGTTACTTTTTCTAATTATTATATTTCTGGATTACTACAGTAACAATATTCCTACAGTAACCTAATGTACAGTAATACAACCTACAAGAATCGTGTCTACAGTAATCTTAACTACGGTATCCTATAATTACCTATGTACAGTAATCCTTCCTAATAACCTACGCTACAGTAAGCATATAGTAACCCAAAAACCTACAGTACACCTACAATAGCCCTACAGTAACCCACAGTAATTCTTCTTACGGCACCTTCTACAGTAATTCTAAACACAGTAATCCTCAAGACACCTACAGTAAACCTAGATGTTTTCTGGATTTCTCTGAATTCAAATTTTCAGAAAAAGCCAAAAAAAAAACGGACAGTTTTCGATCTTCCTACGACACCTACTACATTAGTCCTAAAGTAGCGTACAGACCAAAAACTCACATCGTAAAGAAGTCCCTATGCCTTGCCGCATTCGAAATCACATCAATCGCCAGAGTCAACGCCAAATCGGTCTCCAACGCTTCGATAGATCCACGTTTTCCACTCAACAACAGCTCCTCGGCTCCCAACAACGTGGCATTGCACCTCTTCAGAACGGACACAGCAACCTCGAGAATGCGTCCGAAATATGGTAGAGCCAGTGAGTTGAACGAGGTGTAGAGATCGTTGGCAAAGTGAAGAAGGGATACGAGACGCAGACGAGAGGCGAGATCAGCCTTGGATTCGAGGCCTGGCTCCGCCCACGCGACAAGCTCATTGACGACGGGACGGAATTCCACTTCGGACAGGATGCTTGCGATGGAGACGACGAAGTTGAAGACGGTGTGCTCCAGTTTTTCAACGTTTTCGAATTGCTGAAATTTTGGAAGATAGACGTGGTTCTAGATGATTTAATGGAAGCTTCGTAAGGTCTAGAATCTGGAGCTCCAGCATCGGAAGCTAAAGGATCATAAGCTACAGAACTGGAAATTCCAGAAGTTCCAGGAGCTCCAGAATCGGAAGCTCAAGAATCGGAAGCTCCAGAATCGGAAGCTTCAGAATCCTAAGCTTCAAAATCTCCAGAATCGTAAGCTTCAGAATCCTAAGCTTCAAAAGCTCCAGTATAGGGAGCTCTAGAATCTTCAGAACCAGAAGCTTCAGAATTGCAAGTTCCAGAATCATAACCTCCGGAATCGGAAACTACAGAAGCTACAGAAGTCACAGGAGCTCCAGAATCGGAAGATCCAGAATCGGGATCTCCAGAACAGGAAGCTTCAGAATCTTCAGAATCAGGAATTCCAGGATCGGAAGCTCCAGAGGCTCCAAAAGCTTAAAAATTGGAAGCTTCAGATTCCGGAGCTCCAGAAGCTGCATAATCGAAATCTCCAGAATCGAAACCTCTAGAATCGGAAGCTCCAGAATCACAAGCTGCAAAACCCAAAGCTTCAGAAGCTCCAGAATCGGAAGCTTCAGAATCAGAAGATCCAGAATCGGAAGCTCCAGAATTGGAAGCTCCAGAAGCTCCAATATCGGAATCCTAAGATTGGGAAGCTCAAGAATTCGAGGCTCCAGAAGCCCCAGAATCCGGAGCTCCAGAATCGAAAGCATCAGAATTGAAAGTTCCAGAAGCTCCATAATTCCCTTAATCGGAAGCAACAGAAGCTCTAGAAGCTCCAGTAGCTCCAGAATCGGAAGATCCCGATGATCCAGAACTCGAAGCTCCAGGATCGGAAGCCTGAGATTGAGAAGCTCAAGAATCCGAGGCTCCAGAAGCTTCAGAATCCGAAGCTCCAGAATCGAAAGCATCAGAATTGAAAGTTCCAGAAGCTCCATAATTCCCTTAATCGGAAGCAACAGAAGCTCTAGAAGCTCCAGTAGCTCCAGAATCGGAAGATCCCGATGATCCAGAACTCGAAGCTCCAGGATCGGAAGCCTGAGATTGAGAAGCTCAAGAATCCGAGGCTCCAGAAGCTTCAGAATCCGAAGCTCCAGGATCGGAAGATCCAGAATTATAAGTTTCATAAGCTTCAGAATCGACAGCTTCAGATCCCTCAGATTCCCTAAAAATGCTACAAATCTCACCTCGGCTTGTCTCTGCTGACTTCTGAATTCCAATGACGGCGTAATGATGTCGGCGACGAACGTGTGACGAAGTTGTACGACAGCCTTGCGAAGAGCGTCGGGCTTCTGTTGGTGTTGGGTCTCGATGAATCCGGAGAGCAGGTTGAACAGAGCGCACAGGGCTTTCTGGAATTTTCAGATTTTCAGGATTTGGATCATTTTAAGCCATTTTAGATCCTTTCTGAGCCATTTTTAAGATACTTTTTTAGCTATCTTGGCCATGTTTGGACCGCTATTAGGCCATTTTTACCGTCTTGTAGCCATTTTGACTATTTTGGACCGTTTTAGAGCCATTTTGGTCCGCTTTAGAGCGATTTTGACCACCTACCTTTTCCGATTTCAACTCTCCAACGGCCTTGACAATATGAGCTGGCAAAACTCTCATCTCAATCGACAATAGAGATCGTCGGATGCACGATAGCCGACGATGAATGCCGGATTTGCTTCCGAAGCCGCTGGTTTGTGATCCACCGTCGTATTGGAAGGCGTTGCTTGATGAGCTGGGTTGATTAAGGCTGAGCAATTCAGATGGATCTCCAAATCGAGAAATGAGACGGCAATAACGGATGACAACGTCGCCGGTGGATTCGACGACGAACGATGCGAACTGGTCGAAGACGCGTTGGATGCATGTCAGAGAGCAGATCTGGAATTTTGGGGTTTTTTGGACTTTCAGCGATTTCAGCAAGTTTTGGATCACCGTTTTTTTGGGTTTCAGTCAAAATTTCATTGACTTTTCGAGAAAAAAGGACAACTTTCAGACAAATTTTATGCCGAAATTTCCAAATTTCAACCTTAAAATTGAACAAAAATAAAAATGTTCGGTGTCTTTTTTCAGCTATTTTCTAGCAAATTTTGGCTGAAAAGCCAGTTTTTAAAAGGGATTTTTCATGATTTTTTTCGATTTTGGCCATTTTTAGAATCGATTTCCAGCCAAATTTCAGCAATTTTCAAGCTATTTCGAGTCATTTTTAATCAATTTTTAGATATTTCCAGCAAATTTTATTCGACTTTTTCAATTTTTGACCGATTTTCAGCCGAATTTCAGCTATTTTTTATTTGATTTGCAGCCAATATTCAGCCATTTTTTCAAAGATTTTCAGCCAAATTTCAGTCAATTTTTCTAGATTCTCGGTCATTTTTAAATCAGATTCTAGCAAGATTTTTATAGTTTTTTCGACTGATTTTCAGTCAAATTTCAGTTATTTTTCACTAAATTTTCAGACAAATTTCAGCCAAAACTCACCAACAACGTATCACTGCCAAACTTGTTGCCTCCCAAAGATTGCTGTCGAATTCGGTGTCCTCGATTGGCTCTTCCAGCACCTCCTGCAACCGATCCTCCTGGCGAAGGAGCACTCGAATCGAATTGCGACGACTTTGAGAATTTCTGAATACACTCCTGAACGGTAGCGAGGCACGTCTTCAGAAGACTAGAAGCATGATGAATCGTTGATCTCATATTATGCGATCGAATCATTTCTCCAGCAAGCAGGAGCACATTTCCAGTAAGATTCTCATCGAGTTTCTGATACTGTGAGACAATGGAGACGCAGCGTTGCATAGTGTCAGCAAGAACCAACGATTCCGATTGAGATGGAAGATTCTTAGCGATAAGCTTCAAGGTGAACGCTGAATTCTGACACATTCTCATCTTCTCCTCGCTCTTTGTCTCAGCAACAATGAATTTGTTTAGAGCCTGTGCTAGAGTGATAAGCTCCTTCTCGTTGATTCCACTATCACTGAACAGGTATCCATCGTGTCCTAGCTTGATGTTGGCCAGCTGCAGAACCTTCTCACACATCTTATAGCTCAGCTTCTTCTCATTGACGCATTCTTGAAGCACATCAGCGATCAATCTCGCCGCCACTCCTCCTGGCAACAAGTGTCTTAGCTTTTCAGAAACGATTTCTGTTTTTGAAGCGAATGCCACCCAATATCTCTGAGCTTGAGGATCCGAGCCATCCTGAGCATTGGCTTCCTTGTTAGCGAATTCATCCAACTCCACGGAGCACTCAATTAGTCGCTTGCCAAGTGGCAACGCATTCTTCAACAGCTCCTCATCATCGTACGCTGCCAATCGCTCGATCAGCACTCGATTCGAGAAGATTCTGGCGATCAGCGTGACGACTACATAACGGAAGTGACGGATTCGTGGAAGCGTTTGGGCGGTTCTGTCAAAGATCATCGTATCCAAATCCTTCTTGGTGATTGTGGATTTTGGAGTTGTTGGGGCTTTGTCGCCTCCAAGACGACGCACGTATTCACACATTTCCAGCACGCTAGAGAGCTGAAAATTTGGAAAATTTGAATTTTTGCTCAAGAATTGATTTTTCAGATGGTCCTGGACCATTTTTCAGGTATTTTAAGTACGGAAATTTAATTTTCTGGCGTTTTTAGAGCTTTCTGGAGCCGTTCTGGAGCCAAATTTCAGGTATTTAGGGTCCAATCTCCCCTCTCCGCCGTCCCCAAAACCAACCTGCTCGAATGGATTCAGCGCACTTAGCAACTCAATCGCCAAGTCATCATAGGCCTCTTGGTCCGACCCCTTCTTCAACGCCTCCTGTGCTCCCGCATCCGTAGATCGTTGCCAGCGAGCGCAGAAGCTCGAGACCAGCACCAGGACTACGGTAGACGCATTCTCAGATCCCACTGCTCTCGCGATAGCCTGAGCAATCCGAGCACGACGATGAGCTGGAATATCAACAGCGCTGGCTGCGAACAGACGAGCCAGTTCGATGAGTTTCTCGGTTTGTTGCTGTTTGGTGAGCACGACTTGTCCTAAAGCTCCTCCTGAGTTGATAATCGTTGCGAAGAGGGATTCGACGGTTTTCTCAACGATAGTGAGGGTCAACTCGTTGTCCTTTCTGAGCATTCCATTTCCCATGAAAGTGAACACAGACATCACATGTTTGACGACAGAGTTCGGGGTATGCTTAGCGGCTGCCACAATTAAACGAAGGCAGTCACGAAGGAGATGATGGTTATGGGTGGATCTCATTGTCTCGATCACACAATCCATATCCACTTCTGACGAGCCGATTTTGGTCTTTCCTGGGTGCTCCAAGATCTTTCGAATGGCATTTACAGCGAGATGTTGTTGATAGGATGAGCTCTCGGCGTCGGATCGAGAGTTGGTTCTGGAAGAAACATTATTTTGTTTGGTAGGAATTTTTGGAGAATTTCGTGAGCTGAACTGGCTCAAAATAAGCTTAAAAGGTCCAAAATAGGCTTTAATGTGGCTAAAAATAATCCAAAATAGCCTAAAAATTGGTCCAAAGCAGGCTGAAAATAGTCTGAAATCGGTAAAAAGATGGCTAAAATATAATCTAAAAAATGGCTTAAAATGGTCCATAATAAGCATAAAATGGCTTCAAAATGGTTTCAAAATGACTAAAAAGGCTTAAAAAGGTCAAAAAAAGCTAGAAAAAGGTCAAAAAAAGCTAGAAAAATAAGCTAGAAATGGTGAAAAAAAAGATATATTGGCTGATTTCGAAATATCAAAACTCTGCCAGGTCCATTTTCAACGGGTTTAAACGATTTCTAGGCTGTTTTAGGTTTTTTTAGGCATTTTCAGGTCACTTTTAGGACATCTTCGAGAAAAAAAGTCCCCTAAAACTCACTGCTTAACAATGCCGAAAATCGCTGCCAACACCTTATCACTCGATGGAATCACTTGACGAGCGTTCAACAAATCCAGCACAAACACAACGCGCCCGTTGAAGTCGTCCCAGGATTCATCGTTTCCGAACGTCTTCTCAACGACGTTCTTCTTCGTTGCTGCTGGGCCTTTGGCACGTTTTGGAGCCGTCTCAGCGGCGTCGTCGAATTTCGTTAGGAGGCTCGTGATGAATTGTGGCGAGAGATTGGCCTGGAAGTAAAAAAAACCTCATGGATATGAGATTCAAGAATTAGGCCAATTTTAGGTTCTTCGAGGCTTGGTAGGTCTATTTTGAAGAACTTTAGATCATTCTAGGTATGTTTTTGGCCTTTTTTGGGTCAATTTCAGCCATTTTTCTGGGGTTTTTCCCTTTTTCCCGGGTTATTTTTGAACATTTTAGGGCTATTTTTAGCCTTTTTAGGTCAACTTTGACTTATTCTAGCTCATTTCTAGCCTTTTCTGGGTCATTTTTAGCATATTTCTGGTTCATATGCTCATTTAAATCTCAATTGCAATTCTAGGGGTTTCTCTTAGATTTTTGAGCTATTTTAGCTTAATTTTCAGGCCAATTTCAGGTTCTTCCAGGCCTAGCAAGCCTATTTTTGGGGGTTTAGGTCATTTTAGCTCTATTTTTGGCAGTTACTGGGTCATTTTTTGCAATTTTCTATACTTTTTTGTGCCATTTTTAGGTCTGCTTTTAACCTATTTTAGGGTCAATTTTGGTCAATTTTCAGCCAATTCCCGGCTATTTTTAGGGTAATTTTCGACTTATTTCAAAGAAATTCAAAACCCACCCCAGCCAGTGCCGCTTTCACACTACTCGCATCCACATTTCCATTGCTTTTAACTTCTCCGTTTCCACAAATCTTGACAATCTCCACGACAAACTCCTCGACGTCATCTGCAACCTTCTTTCCGAAATATTTCTCTCCTCGCTGTGCCATTTCATTGAGTGCCCACTCGACTTTCTCCCATTTCTTCTGATGAATCCATTTGATTGCCTCTTTGATCGGATCGCCAGAGAAGACTTCGCGTTTTGAGAATTCTGAGTTGGCAGCTAGCTGGGCAGCTTTTTCCGTAGCTGTGAGAGGCTTATGAACCTTCTTGGGGACCTCTTCAACGTCTTCTGAAGCTGCTTCTGGAGCCACCTCTATGTATTCCGATGCCATCTGGACCACGTCTTCAAGTTCTATCTCCTTGACGATTCTCTTCAACGCCTTTTTATCCTTTTCCTTAAGCTCCTCGTAAATTTCATCGAATTGTTTTGCGAATCGAATTCCGATAGCTCGAATGTTCCCCTTCATTTTGTTCTTCTTGTCGATTAGATTTCCGGACATCGCCTCTTCGAGAATCAGCTTCAAGAACGCCTTCGCTTGCTCGGAAGTGAGAAGACTCGCATCGTCACTGGTCTCCAGAAGCACGTCAATTGCCAGTTGTTGCTCATCAGATTCAGAATCTCTTGACAACGCCACCAACTCTTTCCAGAGGATATTATAGAATTTAGAAGTATCTGTTCTCTCGGACAGATCTCTCAACGCCTTCCACATATCGATATCCTCATCGTGTCGTAGCAACTTTTTCAGAGTGTTCTTCGAGAGATTTTCCACGTTTTGCTGCTGAAAAACGACCATAAGGGTGTTAAGAGAAGCCGTTGAAGTGTCGGAGCGCATTTTGGTGATGAGCAATTTGCAGAGGGAGTTGAGGACGTCTTCTTTGAGTTTGACGGTTAGGACGAGTTGAGAGATCACAACCATTGCAGAGTAGCGGAACGATTTCATGGGGCTCTGGAAATAGGTATTTTTAGGCGATTTTCAGGCTGTTTTAGGTCATTTTTCAGCTATTTTAGAAGACTTTAGTGGAACATCTAGGGGTTTTTGAGCTAGTTTAGGCTAGTTTGGGTCAATTATAAAGATTTTCTAGGCTGTTTTAAATCAAAATTAGGTATTTTAGGCAGTTTTTTGGCTGGTTTAGGTCATTTTTGAGCTATTTTAGACAATTTTAATGAAATTTCTGAAATTTTTTGAGCAGAAAATCGAGGAATTTTAAGCTAGTTTAGGCTAGTCTAGATCATTTTCTTTAAACATTTCAGCTTACAAAATGAGATTTTAAAGAGAAGGCTCTAAACTTCGTTTTTGAGCTATCTTCGAACTATTTGGAGCCACATTTGAGGTGTTTTTGCTTCAAAATTAGCGCATTTTTCGGCTTTTTAGGCGATTTTAGACTATTTTTCAGCTATTTCCAAGCATTTTGTGCCTTTTCGGCGCTTTTTGCAAACATTTCTATGCTTTTTGAGCCGTTCTAGACATCAAAATGTTATGGGACCGTTTTCAGCCTGATTCGGGTTATTTTTCGACTTTTTCAAAAATCTAAAGACTCTTTTAGTATCTAAATCTATTACTGAAAGATTTTGAGCTTTTTCAGCAATTTTACCTTAATTCCATGCTCAATGAACGGGATCAACTTGGCCAACATCATCTCATCGACCTTCTCCGGGTCATTGAACATGCTCAACAGCAATTTGGCATGGAAATTAAACAGAGAGGGATGTTTGATCTCCAAATAATCACTTCCAACAATATCAACAGCCTTCTTGATATGATCAGTGATACAACTGATAATCGAGTGCTTGCTGGCAAGGGTGGCCTTAGAAATTGAGCTAAAAGGGATCGGAGTCTCGGATCTGAGGTATTGCTGCATGAATTGCCACTCTTTGGAGCGTGTCCAGTCGAAATCCAGGATTCTGAGGAGACGAGAATAGACTTTGGTCTCATGGAATGGGAGGAAAGTGAGCAGAAGGGTCTCAGCGTTGAAGGAATAGATCTGATAGGTGTGGACGAGGTATTCGAGAACTTGTTGGCACGCAAAGTGTTGGAGATAGGGAGAAAGTTCTAGGAGGAGCTTCTCGATTTGCTTGTTGAGCGACTCGTTGGCCTCTTTTTCGAGCATGGATCTGACAAAATCCACACGCTCGTCGGAAAACAAGTCGTTGGCAATCTCGGTATCGAAAATGGGATCGATTCGCTTCATTTGCTCAAGTCCAGCGACTCCTGGAATTTTCAAATTTTTGAAAAAATAAAAAAACCAAAAAAAGATTTAACCCACCAATTCGATGTGCGGTCTCATTTGTGAGCTTTCCAGCTTCCTTTCTATCAAAAAGCAACGATACATGACGCTTCTCGACGGTCAGATGACGTGCCGCCGATGTTCGCAGATTTTCTAACTGCGATGTCAAAGAAGTAGCCATTTTTCCGTGCTAACTAGTACCCAATGTTTGGAGAAATAACAGACAACAATTCTGGAAATTTTTTAGGTGAAGCATTCAAGAAAAAAGGATTTTTATAAGGTTTAAATGAAGAAAAACTAGGTGAAAAAAAATAAATCTTGCGAAGTCTGCAAACACGGTGCGGCTCACAATGCGTACTTTGCACCAAACCTTACACCACCTAGTTTTCTATCAATTTTTGCTTCTTTTCCCGCAGCTTTTGGGGCATTATTCAATGTGAAATAATTTTGACTTTTCAGGTAAAAAAGATGAAAATCAAAGTAATTTCTCGTAATCCAAACACCTATCAAAGGGAGACAGTCGATAAAAGGAATAAAAGTGGGGGTTTTGACTGAAAATTCGAAATTTCAATTAAAAAATTATTTTCAGTTGTCCGCAACTTCAACACACCGGCAGATCCGTTCCGTGCACAAACCGAGTACACTCGCGCGTTGAATGCCACAAAGCTCGAGCGAGTTTTCGCGAAACCGTTCGTCGCCAGTCTCGATGGACATGTTGATGGTGTTCAAGTGCTCGCAAAACATCCAAGTAGGGGTTTTCAGGGGAAAAAATGGATCTGAAACTCTAAAATCGATGAAAAACTCAAAATTTCAAGCTGAAAATGAGAAAAATCCATTAAGAAAATATTTTTCCCCAAATTCAAAATTCTTGAAAATCGATAAAACGATTCAAAAACATTCAAAATACCATTAGATAAATTTTAAAATTTCATTTTTCCAGACCGCCCATCTACGGTATTCTCTGGCGCCCGCGATGGCCAGGTAAAAATCTGGAATCTGGCGTCCCGTGAATGTCAAGCCACCCTAGACGCCCATCGTGGCCTCGTCAACGACATCTCAGTGGATAATAATAACGGAGAGAACTTCGTCACCGTCGGGCAGGATGCACAGTTAAAGTACTGGAAAATCAGCTCAGTGGTCGAGTCCCAACAGAAAACCCCCGCTCATTCGATTGCAATCGATGGAATCGTCTATGGAGTCTCCCATTTATCATTTTCATCCGATTTCGTCACTTGTGGAGAGGATATCAGTGTTTGGAAGCCGTTCCGAGAGACACCACTGCGAAGTTATAACCTTGGAACCGACACGATTCATGCGTGCCGAGCAAATCCGATTGAGGAGAATGTGATCGTTGGCTGTAGATCGGATCGATCGATTTTTGTGTTGGATACGAGACAGGATGTGCCTTTAAAGAAGGTTACTATGAAAATGAGGCCGAATAAAGTGTCGTGGAACCCAATGGAAGCCTATTCGTTCACGGTGGCTAGTGAGGATTTTAGGTGAGGTTTTGAGCTTGAAATCCGTAAATTAGGCCGGAAATTGCCCTGGAATTTCAAAATTTCGGCTTGAAAAACCGGGAAAATCTATCTAAAATTGACCTAATTGCCTCGAAATTCAATTTTTGATAATTTCCAAAGAAATAGAACCGAACCCCTAAAAACCCCTGAAAACTGAATTCGAACATCTAAAAATAAGATTCTTTGTCGAAAATTAGTTTTAATCCTTTCAAAAAACTAACCAAATAACATGGAAATTCGACTCAGGAACCCTAAAAATTGACTTAGAAGCTTCAAAAATACACTTTCGAAGCTTTTAAATCCGTCTGAAAATGCTGAAATTCGATTTTTGAGAGAAAAAACAGAGGTTTTAGTCGATTTTAAATCGTTAAAATCAATTTTAAAAGCGATTTTAGCATAAAAACCTAAAAGTGTGTTTTCCTTCCCTGAAATTAAATAAGTCCATATTTTAAACTCTGAAATTAGCTCAAACCCGTCGAAAACTGCCCTAGAACTATTAGAAATGTTCCTAAAACCTAGAATTGTGATCTAAAAATCTTTAAAATTGGCTTAGAAACCCCAAAAAACACACTATGAAGACTTTGAATTAGTTTGAAAAATCTGAAATTTGATTTTATAGAGAAAACAATGGTTGTTTAACCTTTAAAATCGATTTTTTTAGCTTGAAAACGGCTTTTTTTTCTTCCCTGAAATTAGATTTTTTTTCTTCCCTGAAATAGAAAAAAAGTCCAAGTTTTCAACTCTGAAATTAGCCCAAAATCCTTCAAAAACTGCTCAGGAACTGCTCAGAAATGCTCCTGAAACCTGCAAATTTGGCTCAAAAAACCCCAGAAAAATTGACTAAAAACTTCAAATTTGTCTGAAAACGCTGAAATTTATTTTTCAATAGAAAACAGGGTTTCTGGTCAATTTTCAACTTTTTGGTTCTAATTTTGAAGCGATTTCAGCTCAAAAACAGTGCTAGAAGTGTTATTTTCATGCCTGAATCTTCAAAATCCAGTGTAAAACCCTGAAAATTTAGCCCAAACCCCCTCAAAAACTGCTCTGGAACTCTTTAGAAATGCTCCAAAAAACTGCAAAGTTGGCTCAAAAAATCCCAAAAAAACATTTACAAAAAGCCCTCTTAAATACACCTAGAACCCCTTAAATTTGTCCGAAAAGGCTGAAATTCGATTTTCAAGAGAAATCAGGGGTTCTAGTCGATTTTTAACCTTTAAAATCAATATTTTGAAGCGATTTTAGCTGGAAAACTCTCCTAAAAGTGCGTTTTTTTTCTCTGAAACTGAAAAATCCGAATTTGAAACTCTGAAATTAGCCCAAAATCCTTTAAAAACTGCTCCGGAACTGCTCAAAAATGCTCCTAAAACCCTGAATGTTTAGCTTTAAAAACCCCACAAAAGTTGACGAAAAACTTCAAATTTGACTGAAAATGCTGAAATTCGATGTTATAGAGAAAACAGGGTTTTCGGTCAGTTTTCAACTCAAAAACAATGCTAGAAGTGCTATTTTCAGGCCTGATAATAAAAAAGTCAAACTTAAAACCTAAAAATTGCACTGGAACTGCTCAGAAAAGGTCCTAAAAACCTAAAAAATTAGCCGAAAACTCTTCAAAAATTGTCCTGAAACTTGAAATTTTGACACAAAAACCCAGAAGAAAAGACAAAAAATTCTTTAAAATACACTTGCACAGTCTTTGAATTTGTCTGAAATGGCTGAAATTTGATTGATTTTTCCGAGAAAGCAGGGTTTTTTTCGACGATTTTGAGACAGATTTAGACAGTTTTGGGTCCATTTTAAACGAATTTTCCACGAAATATTTCCACATTTTTTTCAGTCTCTACACATTCGACATGCGTTATATGGAGCATCCAGTACAGTCCCATCAAGGATTTACATCGGCCGTTTTGGATGTGGACTACTCGCCGACGGGACAGGAATTCGTTGCTGCTGGCTATGATAGATCGATTCGATTGTTCAAGGCGAGAGATATGACGAGCAGGTGAGCAATAAGAATGATTCAGGGATTTTGGAAGATTCAGAATTTTCGAAATTCCTAAAATCGGAAAATTTGAAGATCTTCAAAATCCTGAAATTCTACATTTAATCTGAGAATCGCATTAGAAACCACCAGACGGGAAATTCGTAAAAACCAGAAGTACAGTAACCCTGAGGGTCCTTTAACACTTCAGAATCCTAAAAATTCTGAATTTCGAAAATATGCAATTCTGAAGATTCAGGAATCGGAAAAGCTGGAAATCTAGAAATTTAGAAATTTGGGAATCTGAAAATCTAGGAATCTGAGGATCTAAGAATCTGAAAATTTTGGGAATCTAGAAATTCTGAAATTGGGAAACCTAGGATTTTAAAAAATTCAGTAATCCCGGATTACTTTAATCCGTAAATTGCGAAGTTCAGAAGTCTTGAAATCTGAACATCTAAAAATCTGAAATTTGGAAACCTGAAAAATTTGAAGCAGCAAAATTCTGAATTCCAGGAGCCCCGAAAATCTGAAAATCGAGAAATTTAAAAGATGAAAAATCGGTTAATTCTTGGAATCCTGGAAAATCCAAAAAGTTACACAATCCAGGAATCTTGGAAAACTAGAATCCTTGAAATCCTCAGAGTTTTCTGAATTTCTGCATTTCGAAATTTCTGAACTTTTGAATTTTTGAATTTTTAGAATTTTCGGACTTTTGAAATTTCAGAATTTTCAGACTTCTGAACTGAACGAACAGATACCCTAGGAATCTTAAAACTGAAGATCCATAGAAACCGCAGACTGGAAATTCTTAAAAACCAGAAGTACAGTAATCCTGAAAATCCTTAATCTTCTAAAACCTGAACTTTTTTAAACCGATAGATTTGTAGGGATTCTAGGAATCCTAAAAATCCCGGAATTTGAAAAAAAAATATATAATTCTGAAGATCCAGGAATCGGAATAGCTGGAAATTTAGAAATCTAGAAAGTTAAAAATCTGAAAATCTAGGAATCTAAGAATCTAAGAATATAAGGATTTAAGAATCGAAGGATCTAAGAATCTGAGAATCTAAGAATCCAAGAATCTAAGAATCTAAGAATCTAGGAGTCTGAATATCTAGGAATCTGAAAGTATAGAAATCTAAAAATCCCAAATTCTTTTCCAGAGACGTCTACTACACGAAACGAATGGCCTCCGTCCTATCCGTCCTCTGGTCGGCAGATTCGAAATTCGTGTTATCCGGATCCAACGAAATGAATATTCGCGTGTGGAAAGCGAACGCCGCAGAGAAGCTGGGACCATTGACAAAGCGAGAGAAACAAGCGTTTGCGTACAATGAAAAGCTCCGTGAGACGTACAAAAACCATCCGGACGTCAGACGAATCGCCAAGCATCGTAATGTGCCAAGACATATTTTCACGTTAGTTTTAAGGGATTTTTTGGCTGAAAATGAATGAAAATTGGACAATTTTGAAGGGTTTGGAGCCTGAAATGTGGTCGAAATTCGCGTTTTTCTAGCTGGAAATCTGAAAATACCCTATTTTAACTCAAAAATCTGAAAATTTTAAACTGAACATCTGGAATTTTTAAACTGAATTTTCGGAATTTTAGACTGAAACTGTGGAATTTAAGATTGAAAATCTGGAATTTTTATACTCAAAATCTGGAATTTTTAGACTGAAAATGAAGAATTTTAGACCGAAAATCTTGAATTTTCAGACTGAAAACCTGAATTTCAAAGCGGAAAATCTGGAATATCCTCGGAAATTGGATTTTAGAATTTTCGAAATTTTCGATGTTTATACTTTCAAAAAGCCTATTTTAAGCCAAATTTTAAGCTATTTACAGCCAAATTATATTCAAAAACTTCCAATTTTTTTCAGAGCCGCCAAAGAGCACAAACTCATCCGTGACGCCCGAGCTCGTCGTGATCTTCGCCGTGCCAAGGCTCAAGGACTCGACGAGGAGGAATCGTATCTGCCACAAACACAAAAAGTCATGTTGGGCGATGCGGAAATGTGAAGAGCTCTTTTTGGAAGATTTTTTGTTACTTGTTATCTCATTTTTTGTTGATTTTTCTTATCTTTTTGGTGTTCCTCCGATCGTTAAATGAGCCTTGAATGAAGGTTTTGATTCTAACAAGTTAAAACAGCAACAACAATAAAATCCAAAAAAAAAAACATAAAATCCGATTCCGAAATTTGACGAGACTCTAGACACAATGAAACAGAGCGTTACCGAGACTTGAAGAGACCGAGACACAACGAGACTCTAGAATTTAAAACTGACGAGAGTAGACGGTAACGAGACTTGATAAACTGACAAGACTAGACATGACGTCTCCGAGACTTAACGAGACTTGAAAACTGTAAATGCTCGAGACTTGGCGAGACAGAGACTCGAGGTTTGAGAACTGACGAGACATAGACTATAGACACGCCGATTTCAAGACCCAATCAATCCCGGTTCTTAGCAAGAAACATTAACGAGAACGAAACTTTAAAAGTTTCAAGACTCGAGACTCCCCGAGACTTTACGAGACTTGAGACTCAACCAGACTTTAACACTGTCAAGAGCAGGCAAGACCGAGGCATTACGAGAATTGGCGATAACGAAGCGAGACCGAGACCGAGAATTGACAAGACTTGAGAACTGTCGAGACTTCACAAAAAATGAAAACTGGCAAGATTAGAGGCTTGGCGAGAACGACCCACAACGAGACTCAAGACTTGACGAGAGTTGAGACTTTACAAGTCGGACACTCCACGAGACTTGAAAACTGGCAAGACTCGAAACTTGCCGAGCAGGAGACAAAACGAGACTGAGATTCGAGACTTCACAAGACTTCATTAGACTCCAGACTGCAGTCTCCGAGACTTAACGAGACTTGAAAATCGAAAATTGGCGAGAGTACACAAGACTCGAGACTTTACGAGACCAAGACTCAACGAGACCTGGGAATTAGCAAAACACAGCGGGGGGAATTCACAAGAGTTGAAAAACGGCAAAAATCGGGATTTGAAGAGTCCAAAACCCAACGTGACCGAGACCTGATGAGACTTGACGAGACCGAGGCTCCTCGAGGCTTAACGAGACTTTGACTCCAAAAATCTCGAGATTTAACGAGTCGGATATTAAACTAAAGTTAAGGCTTGACGAGACCGAGACTAGACGAGACCGTGACTTGGCGAGACCGAGACTTCACAAGATCAAGGCAACACCTACAAAACACAACATTCTGAAAATAAAACTTTTCGAAAATGCCATCCCTAAATACATCAAAAAAGAGAAAACAAAGTTTTTATTTTCGTATTTTCTAGTACCACTTCAGTTTGCCTTTACTGCCATTTCTCCTCCTCCAGTTACCTGGAAACGGGACGACGACTCGGCTCGCCAGGAGCATTCACAACAACTTTTTTCATTCTTATCCTTTTTTGGAAATTTCAAAGTTTCAAGCTTAGGAGATGTTGTTTCTATTCCTTCTGATTTTCATTGGAATTCTGATTTCTGCGAATTCTGGAGACCCCACTGTCACGTCATCAACTGAAAGTAAGGCAGAAGAGAGAATGATATAGAAGATTCTAGACAAATTGAAAAGTTGGAGACATTCCAGAAATTTCGAAAACGAGACTCAACGAGACTCGAGTAGTGAAGAGTCCGAGACTCAACGAGACTAGAGTATTGAGGAGTCCGAGACTCAACGAGATTCGAGTAGTGAAAAGTCCGAGACTCAACGAGACTCGAGTATTGAAAAGTCCGAGACTCAACGAGACTCGAGTATCAAAAAGTCCGAGACTCAACGAGACTCGAGTATTAAAGAGTCCGAGACTCAACGAGACTCGAGTATTAAAGAGTCCGAGACTCAATGAGACTCGAGTATTGAAGAGACCTCAGGTTTGACGAGACTTAGCGAGTCCGAGACACAACGAGACTAGACGAGAAATAATATCATGACATCGGTCTCGTCCAGTCTCGTTAATTCTCGCCAAGTCTTGTTAAGTCTCGTTAAGTCTCGTCAAGTCTCGTTCAACCTTCTCAAGCTTTTTGAAATTTCTAAAATTCAGAACCCACTCCCAAAACCCCTCATTTCTTCTGGAATGTCTTTTGCATGAGAATCTTCTAGGCTTAAACGAGACTCAACCCTGAGGGGTCCGAGACTTAACAAGACTCGAGACTTGAAGTATTCGAGACCCATCGAGACTCAACGATACTCAAGACTTAACGAAACCTTATGTTTAACGAGAACTTGGCGAGACCGAGACTAGACAAGAAAAATTAGCTTGACCTCGGTCTCGTCCAGTCTCGTATAGTCTCGTCTTGTCCTGTCTAGTCTCTCAAGGACTCATAAGCATTTCAAAAGTTTTCACATTCCAAATTCTTCCAGAACCCACCACCCAAGACCCGGCATGTCTTCTGGAATGTCCCGATGGCTACCAAGTTGGAAAATCCAGTTGCTACATTATGTATCCACCAACCCGAGCCAATTCCTATCAGGCATCGCTCTCCCTCTGTATGTCAAAATCCAGACAAACTCTCGCGTCTCTCGAGAAGTTTCGAGAAGACATTCCAATGCTTCAGGTGAGGAGTAGCCTCAAAAAATAGCTAGAATTACAGTATTTTTCAGGCTTCCGCTTCTGAAACTTCAATCAATTGGATCTATGCAAATGGAATCGGGTCCCGGAAAGAGAGGTTCGACAAGAAAGCCGATGTATACAGTATCTTTGAGCAGTCCATTGTTCAGGCGCCGATTGTGCAAAGTGTTGGGATATCGGAGAAAAATTCCAATGTCTCAACGCTTTGTATAGTGCCAAGTGAGTTGGGAGGATGGACGAGACCAAGAGTTCTGACGAGTCTCATCAACTCTCGTCAAGTCTCGTCGGGTCTCGTTGGGCCTCATTGGGTCTCGTCTGGCCCGATCGGGTCTCGTTGGGTCTAGTTGAGTCTTGTTTGGTCTCGTTGGCCCTTTTTGAGGCTTATTGGGTCTCGTCGGGTCTCGTTGGGTCTCGTCGGGTCCCGAAAGCGATTCTAAGGGTCTAAACAGCAAAGAAATTAATCGAGAACTGGCGAGACCCACGAAAATTGTGAGTTTCAGGCGGGTTCTCAAGACGAGACCTGACGAGACTGGACGAGACGTGACGAGACTTGACGAAACTTGACAAGACGGAGACAATGTTTTTAGAAAATCTCGCTGAAGTTTTCACCAGGCTCGTCAGGTCTCGTTGAGTCTCGTCGGGTGCCATTGGGTCTCGTCAGGTCTTGTCAGGTCTCGCCATGTCCCGAGAGCGATTCTAAGGGTCTAAAGAGCGAAGAAATCGACTAAGACTTGCAAGACCAACGGAAATAGGGAGTCTCGTCTTTTCTCGTCGAGTCTCGTCAAATCTCGAGAGCGATAAAAGCAATCAAGACCTAACGAGACATGACGAGAACCAAACAAGAACTTTCTAGAATTCTGCGACACTCCAATCTGCGACATTGAACAAATCTTGCTGACCTACGAGTACAATCAGCTCTTCTCCTCTCCCGTGAAGACTCTAAAACCTAAAGAGACCACTTCCTTGACATGTATCCCAAAGAAACAGTCCATCGAAGTCACTTGTGGATCCCTAGGAAATATTTATCCAGAACCTTCCATGATTCAATGCCAAAGAACGAGTATCGAGGAAATTCAAGACCTTTCAAATCCCAAAAAGTTGTTTTCAAGCTGCTCGAAAGGGTTCCAAAGGGGCGTGGCTTCATGTGACCCAGTTCTCGAAGGTTCTGAGATCATTGGCTATCGATTCACTTGCAAACCGGGCTGGACCATGCCCACCTGTTGGTACACTACAGACACCTGCACATCAAACTACTGTAGTGAGAATGGAAAGTGTGTTAGTGAAGCTGGCGAGAGAAGATGCGAGTGTAAAATGGGATATGCTGGCGACAAATGCGAATGGAATCTTCGAGAAAAGTATGCGAAAGTTTGGACGTTCCCGGTGTTCACTGGAGCAATTATTGCTCTTGGCGGATTTGTAGTTCGAATTGTGAAGAGAGCGGTTGCTCTGGGACGGACTGAAGCAACGGATGAGGTTTGTTCTTGGGGGCCTAGAAACTCAAAGTTCGGCCATTATAGAATCCACAGAGCACTCATCAAATCCTTCGCTCGTATTGCATGTTCGTCGCTGGCATCTTGGTTCTCTTCTATTCGAATCCAGGGCTAACGAATATTACTCCGACGGCATGCAGATTCAATTTCATTGCGGTCCACTTTTGTTTCATGATGGGTTCGTCTGAAAATATGAAAATGAAAAAAAAACACATCGAAAACAAAAAGAATCAAGTTTCTAGGCCTCTTGGGAGCTGAGATGTAGCGATTTAAAGTTTCAGAGGTGAGAGACGCAGAGAAACGAGAGCCCTCTCGTTTCTCGGCGTCTCTAACCAACAAAACTTCTAAAGGCTATATTTCAGCTCCAAAACAAGGTAAAGAGTTGAAATTTAAACAGAAATATGTCAAATTCAGGGTGCAATATTCCCATGTAAATGTAACTTTGTGAAATTCCCAAAATATTAGAAATGGGAGCTCAAAAATAGGTTCTAGATTTCTTCTTGAAATATCTGAAAAAAAAAAGAAAGAAATCTTCTATTTTGGTCCAAAGATCAACTTTCTAGCCCGCCTAGAACTCGAGATTTAGCGCTTTGGATATTCGGAGGTGAGAGACGCAGACAGCAAGAGCACTCTCGTTGCCTGCGCCTCTCACCTTCATACTTTTAATGCGCTGTATCTCGTCTCAAAGTCAACCGATTTTCATAATTTTTAAAATGGTGTACGTTTGCTGCTCAGAGAGACGCGGGCAACGCGAGCACTCTCGTTTCTCTGCGTCTCCCTCTCTCCAAACTTCAAATCGTTGTATCTCAGCTCCCAGACGGCCTCGAACTCCGATTCTTTTCTCATAACACCTCAAATTCTTAGCTTTATCAATAGAGCACACTTTCAGCAATGGTTCAATGGCTCCTCGAGGCCTGGAATGTGAATCAAGTACTCCGATGTGTTCATCTGAATGAATGGGAGACAGATTGGAATGGAAAAAAGAGCTGGGGAGTGAGAATTGTTCCAAGAATGGTTGCATCGGTTCTCGTGGTGTCTGCGGCATTGCTCATCACGTTTCAAGCAGGATGGAATCAATTGGCCGCTCCATGGACTTGTGTTGGAACAGTTAGAGAGGATAATTTGTCGATTTGGATTCCAGTCATCGCTATGGTCATTATTGTGCTCCTGGCGGCTGGAGCAGTTTTCGAATCGAATTTGTTGATTAAATTGTGAGTTTGAGGGGAGTTCTCGAGACCGAGACTTGACAAGACTTGACGAGACCTGACGAAACCTTACGATACTTGACGAGACTTGACGGTTCTAAAAGTGAGTAGACAATCCAAGTCTTGTGGGGTCTCGTCGAGTCTCGGCGGGTCTCGTCAGGTCTCGTTGGTTCTAATAAAGTTTCACCGAGAACGAGACCGAGACTCCACAACCTCATTTTTTCAGCCGCCGCCCGCTTCTCGGCTACCGTATCGACCTGCGAATAGAACGACAGATGGGACACGAGGCGGGTCGTCAGGTGGAGAAATGTCGCCGGAATGAAATTCTCTGTATCTCTGGAATCTCTCTTTTAATTATTCTCTGGTTTCTGACAATTCTCTCTGCGGATTTTAAGGATGACGTAACGATTGGAAGGTGAGCAATGTTGATGGCCTAGGAATCCAAAATTTTGTGTTTCTAGGCCATCATCTATTAATTCATGTTTGGATAGTGTATGAGATCAACTACAGTAGTATAGAAAAACATGTTTTAGGTGGCCTAAAAAATTTCTGAATTCTAGGCCATCGTCAACCAAATTGTTTCCATACTTAGTGGCCTAGAAAGCCAAAAACTTGGAATTCTAGGCCATGGAATTTTTTCAGCCTAACTGTGATCATGGCCATCGTCTACTCGGTGTTCTCGTTCTATCAAGAAGCGGTGACGTGTCCAGAGGTTTGTCTGTTTCTGTCGACGACACCCGGACGGGTGTCGTCGAAAATTCAAAAATTTGAAATTTCACGTTTTTAAACTTTTTTTTCGAAAAACTTCTTGATCTAATTTTTTTAGGTCATGATCTAGTTATTCTAGGTCATGACCCAGATTTTTCTAGGTCATGACCTACTTTTTTCTAGGCCATGACCTAGTTTTTTCTAGGTCATGACCTACTTTTTTTATGTCATGACCTAAATTTTTCTAGGTCATGGCCTACTTTTTTCTAGGTCGTGACCTAATTTTTCTAGGTCATGATCTACTTTTTTCTAGGTCATGGCCTACTTTTTCTAGGTCATGACCTACTTTTTTCTAGGTCATGGCCTACTTTTTCTAGGTCATGACCTACTTTTTTCTAGGTCATGGCCTACTTTTTCTAGGTCATGACCTACTTTTTTATAGGTCATGACCTAAAAATATCCAATTATCCAGATGTCTTTAGGATCGCGCCATGTGGATAACCATTCTCCAACGTTATCTTCCCGCTCGTTTCGCGCCAAGCTACAACCCGGAAATCATGTGGACCGTTGATGAAGTTCGGGAAATGTATAAATTTTCGGAAAGGGAAAGAAAATTGAAGTATGAGCAATACGTGCCCCGGAATCAGTATTTGTACCTTCATCATCGTTGGGACCTTCGATTTAATGAGATTCTGGCAGAAACGCCTCAGATGACGATTAACGAAGCATTGGTGAAGGTGTTCTGTGAGGAGATGAATTTGTTGAAATGCAATAATGGAACTGGGAAGCAGATGGCTTATATACAGTAAGTATTGTGGGCATTTTTAAGTTCTACAGTATCCTTTTTGGTTTGTTTGAAGATGTTGATTTTGAAAGGTGGTATGCTCTTTTTAGCGACGTCTTCTTGGAAAACCAATATTAAACTATTTTCAAATTTTTTATCATTTTGTTCCGCTTTGTATGTTCTACAGTGTCCGAATTGAATTTTCTAAAAACTTCTATTGCGAAGCGAGTTACAGTACCCAGGACAAAACCATGAAATTTCGGTTTTTCTTGATGAAGTAGTCAACTTTGAAGTCCTACAAAAGTAATTCAGATTATTTCGATCTGTCTGAAATTTTGAAAATAAACTAAACGAAACCAGAACTTCAATTTTGTAATTGACAACTTTTTTCTAGCTACCCTAGTTTTGGAGATATGCGCCTTTAAAGTTGGCGCGCCCCTGCCGTCCGAGAAATAGGGGGAGAAGAAGCGCGTCAACTTTAAACAGGCATATTACAAAAACTACGGTAGCTGGAAAAAAAATTGTCGACTACAAAAATAAAGCTCCATTTTTGTTTAGTAACCTCTGAAACTTTCAGACAAATCTAAATATTCTGAATTGCTTTTGTTGGACTTCAAATTGACTATTTCCCTGTGAACAAAAACCAGAATTAGGTATATTCTTTTCCGATTACTGTAACTCGCTTCAAAATCAAAATTATCAAAAAAGCTAAAAAGGATACGGTAGAACTTGAGAAGCGCTACAAAATGATACCACATCTAGCTACAGTAGTTTTCGAGATATGCGTCTTTAAAGCTGGCGCGCCTCTTCTCCACCCATTTCTCAGGCCGCAAGAGAAGAGGCGAGCCAACTTTAAAGGCGCATAGCTCAAAAACTACGGTAGCTAGAAAAAAGCTGTCAACTAGAAAAACAAAGATCTAGTTCTGTTTATTATACTCGATAAGTTTCAGAGAAATCGATAAATTTCTAGACATTCAAAGTTGGCGAGAAGATTTAGTGACCGAAAAACCACTTGGCATTGCCTAGGCCACCGTTTTTTCTTCCAGGGACACCTATGCGGATTTCCTCTACACAATTCCGGACACGGACCCTCGAACCCTAAAAGGACGTATCCATGGCCGTCTCGAGTTGGTAACTCTCGCTGCCGATGCTCCAATTGGTGTGAAATTGGCAAAATTCTTCATTGTCCCCGGTTTCGACATTTTTGAACCGGAAATTCCGAATGAAGAAATTCGCGAGCTCAATCGGGAGGAACGACAGCGTCGACGTCTTCGGAATGAACGAATTCAAATGGAGAATTATCGAATTTTGAGAGAAGAGGCTCGCGAGCAAGCAACTTTTCTGAATTCGAGCATTCATTTCCGATATTTCGGAAACGAGGTTGTTCGTTGACTTTTTCTCAAAAAATTCTTATTTGGGGGCTTTTCTCTGTTAAAAATTAGTTTTTTTAGATTTTTTTTCATTCTGAAAGTGATTTCTTTCTCTATGTTGAAAGCGAATAAACTTTCTTGTTAACATATATTTTTATTTTTTAAATCGATTTTTATATTGTTTTTCTGGAAACATCACGATAGAATTCCAGAAAATAACCTGAAAATTCCTCAGTTTCAGCGTCTTACAATCAAAATTCAAACTTGGCGCCATACGAATGTTCACAACTCTCATCATTGCGTACCTAGGCATTTCACTTGACGCGCAAACCTGAAACCTATTTTTGATCGAATTTCAGCTATTTTCAGCGATTTTTAAGAAATTTTGAAGGATATAAAGCTGAATTTCAATCAAATTCTTCAAGTTTAGACTACAATTTTCAGCTGTTAAGTCTTTTTTTTCAGAAAATCGAGGAAAATTCGTCGAATTCAGAAAACTTTTCAAAAATCAAAAAAAGAGATAATTACTATAAATCATAATAAATCCTAAAAGTTATCCGAAATCTGGCAGATATTTCCCAAAAATTCTTAGAATTCCTCGTTGTTTTAGCATTTTCTGATCAAAATTCAAACTTCGCGCCGTTTCTAATGTTCACAAAAATTCTCCTTGCGTACAGTGCACTTATTCGACGAGCAAGCCTAAATCGTCATTTCATGGCTTTTTATGCGATTCTTCGTCAATTTTCAGCTATTTTCGAACAAGTTTTATTGAAAATCAGACATTAGAATAAAGGAAAAAGTATAATAATCAGATCAGATCACAGAAAATTGAGAAAACAACGACAAAGACGAAAAAAAGTTATTTCTTCGAAGCGACTTCCGGCAAGTTGTTCTTGATGTCTTTTGGGATCGTCTCAATGTATTCCTGATGTTTGACCCATGAAGCCGTCGCCAGCACACCGCCCGTGTTGTTTAGCTGCACGTCCGGCTCGTAGCGAATTTCTCGGCCACTGATATCGGTGAGCCGACCGCCGGCGGCCGTGAGCACAGCCTCCACGGCGCAAGTGTCCCATTTCTTGCATCCGGCACTTGCGAAGACGTACGCCGCGCAGCCTTCGAGGACCTGGAAAATTAGAAAATTTCGGTCTAAATCGGTAAAAATCGATTTTTTTTTGAATTTTTCAATTTTTGGGAAAAATTGCCTAAAATCGTTCGAAAATCAGCCATTTTCATCCGATTTTTTTCATTTTTTTTTTCAAAAAATCGGTCAATATCGAATTTTCTCACCTTCAGAACTTTGAATCCGGCTCCGCCCACTTTCTCGACATTATCCGCTAGATTCCGGGTTTTCAGCGCTTCCAGAGCGCTCGAAACCGACTCGCTGAGATGGCTGCGCGTTGTGACGACCGTTTTTTGAGTGTTTCCTGGAAAATAGTTGTGTATGTTTGTCCGGATGTCCGATGACGTCATCTTGACCAATTAGCGTCATTTTGGCCGAATGATATCATTTTTAAAGGGGAAATCAAGATGACGTTTTTGGATAATCGTCAAAAGATTGAGAATTGGACATCCGGACGTCTGTGTGTCCGGATGTCCAAAAATAAGGTTTTCGGGTCGAATTTTCGCGATTTTTCTAATTAATAAAAATGTCAATTTTTACCTGTTGCCGGCACTAATCCATGTACTCCACACCCTTTAATCGCCCAGACCGTTCTTCCACTCGTCGAATGATAGGGTTGATGAATGATTCCAGCGACCGGACGTCCTTTATAAGCGATCCCAATGAGAACCGTCACCTGCTCCAGAAGCGCCAAATTCTTATTTTTCACCGCCAACGCGACTTCAGAAGTGCCATCGAGTGGGTCCACCCACACGACGACCTCGTTCTCTTTGATTTGCGCCAATTCTGGAGAGATTAGACGATCTGTGAGAAGCACGTCTTCATTGAATCCTAGTTCTACTTCAGGGCAGGCGGTGGTGTCTTCCTGGAAAATTTTGAAAAATATTTAACTGAAAAAGGAGAAAAAATCGAGTTTTTAAGCCGAAAAATCGATAATTTCAGAAAAAAATATTTCTCAAAAAACAATTTTTTTTTCGATTTTTTCTGAAAGTTCCAAACACTGACCTCTTCCCCAATGATCGTTATATTATTAAAATGCTTCTGGAGCGACTGAACGATACAATATTGCGCTCGTCGATCGGCTTCGGTTTGTGGATCGTAACCGGACCCGGTTTCCGCTTTATCGACGATTTTGAGGTCTCCACCGGCCATGACATTCTGGAATAATCAAAATTTTAGGTGAAAAATGTCTTTTAATCGACTAAAAATCGATTGTTAAAGCTGAAAATCGCCAAAATCGAATCAACCAGTTTAAAATTTTGAATTCCCGCTTAAAAATTTAGCTTTCGTGGCGATGCCATCGGCTGCGAAAACTAGGCGCGCCTTTAAAAGCCACGTCGCTTTTCGTCAATTTTCAGGTTAAAACTCGAAAAAACGCCGATTTTTGTTGAAATTCGCTGGTTTTTTTTGAGGAAAAAACTGAAAATTCTAAAAGTTTAGGGTTTTTGCAGGTTTTAACTGGAAAAATTATGATTTCTGACTGAAAAATCTGGAAAATTCGAAAAAAGGCGGAAATTGATTTTCAGAGGGTTTTCAGTTTTGGAAAAATTGGAATTTTAGATGACAAATATCTTTTAATCGACTAAAAATCGATTTTTAAAACTGAAAATCGTCAAAAAACGGATTAGAAATTTAAAAATTTTAAATCCCCGCTAAAAATTGTTGCTTTCGTGGCGATTCCAGCGGCTGCGAAAACTAGGTGCGCCTTTAAAAGCCACCTCGATTTTCGTAAATTTTCAGGTTAAAAACTCGAAAAGACGACGATTCTTGTTGAAATTCGCTAGTTTTTTTTGAGGAAAAAAACTGAACATTTCAAAAGTTTAAGGTTTTTCCAGGTTTTTACCGAAAAATAATGATTTATAGGTCTAAGATCTGGGAAATGCGAGAAAAATGCAGAAAATGATTTTTAGAGGATTTTCAGCGGATTTCAACAGTTTTTAGGCTTCTTTTCAGCTGGAAATGCTAGTTTTTACTCTGTAACTCTGAACATTAAACAATTTTAGGCCGAAAAATTATGGGAAAAGTTTGAAAATTGAAAAAAAAAATTTTTTTGGCTTGCGAATTTTGGACAGATTTTTTCAGGATTTTCTCGAATTTTTTCGAATTTTTGCTACTTTTCCAATAAAATATTCCAAATTCTCTCACCTTAATAATCCCACCAGCCGCTTCCGAAACCCGAACGGACGATGCGACGAGACGTGTGAGGAAGCTCGCTTTGTTGAACATTTCTGATTGTGAAGACAAGGCACTCATTCCATTCGGCACTATATCACTTCGGCACTATATCTCGCCTAGAAAAATCTCCCTCTTTTCTCTTATTTTGTTCCCTCCCATTTGGTTTTTATTTTTTCAACGTTGGAAGCGCTAGAGAGTGTGCGAATCGAGGAGGGTGTTAGAGAAAGTGCTGCGTACGATACACGTAATCTGACGACATAATTTTTATCCGAATCGTTTTTCCACGTGGATTCCACTGGATTTTAGGTATCGACAAGGATTTAGAAGACGTTAAAACTAGAAGATGTCCATAAAAATTTAAAATAAAAAAAAACAGGAAAAAATCCTAAAAATTGGAGAAAAAGAAGGCGAAAATCGAAGAGAGAACACAGCAAAAAGATTACATCTTCTGGGCAAACCGGCAATCTATGATGACGTGGCAGTTTTTAGAAGACGTGGGAGGATATTTCGGGCTATATTTATATAGAAAAATAAGAGATCAAGGAGCAGACAATTTCGGAAAAAATGAGAGAAATATTTTTTTTAAGAAAAGCAAAAACAAACTTTAAATATTCCCAATTTGCGAAACGCAAATTATGGGGAAGGAAGTAGTTTTGTTTTTGGCGAAAAACGGGGAGGGATGCAAACGCGCTCTATCGGAAAACAGGGAGAAAATGGAAGTGCGGACGTCGGGATATGTGGAAATGGGGACAGTCAGGAGAAGAGAAATGGGGAACAATTTTTAGAAAATTCAAGTTTTCAAAAAATTCAGTAAATCGTAAAAATTTCAAAACTCTCAGAAATTAAAAAAAACATATTTTTTTTCATAATTTTACAAAACTTTTGGAACTTTCGAATTACAAAACGAATTTTTCAAGATTTCAAAGATTGTTATTGGAATACTCAAAAATTTCAGATTTTTCAAAATTTTGAGAATTTTGTTTGGAAAAATTTTTTGATTCCAAAAAATAATCAAAAATTCTACTCCAAAACAGTTCAATAATAGGAATCCTTGGCACTAGTTGGAAGCTTCTGGAAGTTTCAATAAGGCGTTACATTCCATCTGAAAATATAAAATTTCCGATTTTTAATTTTCTCGAATTTCCATTTTACCTCAAAACAGGCGAAAAATCGCCTAAAATCGAAAACTTTATTTTTGAATTTTTAAACTTTTCGACTTCCTGAATTTTTAAGAACTTGAATTTCTGGATTTCAGGAACTTCTAAAATTTTTGAACTTCTGAATTTTCAGAATCTAAGATTTCTCTGAACTTCTCAATTTCAAACTTGTGGAACTTTCGAACTCTTGGAATTTCTAAATTTCTGATTTTTTAGAGTTTCCTAAAAACGATCTAAGAAATTCGAAGTTCTGCAATTTAAATATTTTTGAAAACAGAAAAACTGAAACTAAACTTTTTTTTTTCTATTACTATGATCTGAAATTTTCAACCAATGTTCAATTATTTTGTTTCAATAAAATCCATTTATTACGAATTTGTATTTTCCGAGTCACAAAAAACACAAAAAAATTTGAAGAGGGAAATAGATTGGGCGAAATTTTTTGAGAAGAAAAACCGGTAATTTTCAAGGAAGAATAGCATCAATTGGAAGCGTTTGGGGTCAACAATGAAGGGATTTTTTGAGAAAAATATAAAATTTTCCAAAAAAAGAAAACAATTGGGTGAGCTATGGCAATCTGAACATACATATACATCAATTTTTGAAATTCAAAATCACTGACTAGAATTCGAATGAGGCGAAGTGGGAAATGAGGAAATTTCTAGGATATTGAAAAAAAAAGTTTAGAGAGCTCTCCATTTTGAAAGATCCATTTCTGGAATTTTATTACAAGGAGTCAAATTGGCACCGGGAAGAAGGAAGGCGTCCTGGGACACCAATTCGAAATTGTCAGCGTTATCACAAATGATTCGAGAGAGACTTGATTTTTTGATCTCTTCCACTTGGGAACGTGTGAAGATTCCTGGATTTTCGAAATAGAATCTGTAAAAAAAGGCTTCGAAATTCTCAAAATTCTGAAATTTTAAAGAATATTTTGAATTTCTGAATTTTCGATTTTTTAAAAAGTTTTAAACTTTGAAGAATTTTGGAATTCCAAACTTTCGGATTCTTGGATTTTTAGAATCGGGTCAATGTGGGTTTGAAAAGTTAGAATTTCTGATGTTTATGAATTTCCCGAATTCCCGAATTTCAGAACTTTAGATTTTTGAATTTTCTGTTTTTTTTTAATTTCTGAATGAATTTTTTGGAATTTCTAAACGTTGAACATCCTGAGGTTTTCGGATTTCATGATTATTAGATTGAGAACTACCGAATTTCAGAAGTTTCAAAAAATTCCGAAATTCCAAAAATTGGAAATCCAGAAACACAGAATTTCAGAACTTTTTAAATCTCAGAATCTGTGAAAAAAAATGACTCTGAATGAGAGTTTAAAAATATCCAGAATTTCAGAATTTCAATGTTTACAATTTTTGAAACTCTGAGCTTTTGGGGATTCCAAGTTTTTGGAATTTTGAAATTTCTGAATTCCTGAATTTCCTGGAATTTCTAGATTTTTGAATTTCTGAATTTCTGATTTTTTGAATTTCTGAATTTCTGAATTTCTGAATTTCTGAATTTCTGAATTTCTGAATTTCTGAATTTCTGAATTTCTGAATTTCTGAATTTCTGAATTTCTGAATTTCTGAATTTCTGAATTTCTGAATTTCTGAATTTCTGTTCAGAACTTTAGATTTTCCGAATTTCCTGAACTTTCTGAATTGTTAGTATTTCCAAATTTTCTCAATCTCTGAATTTCTGAATTTCAGCATTTCTTGAAATATCACATTTTTTGGAATTTTAACATTTCAGAGATTTCCGATTTTCTGAATTTCCTGGAATTTCTGAATTTCTGAATTTCTGAATTTCTGAATTTCTGAATTTCTGAATTTCTGAATTTCTGAATTTCTGAATTTCTGAATTTCTGAATTTCTGAATTTCTGAATTTCTGAATTTCTGAATTTCTGAATTTCTGAATTTCTGAATTTCTGAATTTCTGAATTTCTGAATTTCTGAATTTCTGAATTTCTGAATTTCTGAATTTCTGAATTTCTGAATTTCTGAATTTCTGTTCAGAACTTTAGATTTTCCGAATTTCCTGAACTTTCTGAATTGTTAGTATTTCCAAATTTTCTCAATCTCTGAATTTCTGAATTTCAGCATTTCTTGAAATATCACATTTTTTGGAATTTTAACATTTCAGAGATTTCCGATTTTCTGAATTTCCTGGAATTTCTGAATTTCTGAATTTCTGAATTTCTGAATTTCTGACTTCCTAATTCCAGAATTTTAGAATTTCAGATTTTAAGAATCTCAAAATATGTCAGAATTTCCGAAATTCGAAGATTCAGAGATTTCAGAATTTAGTTAGGAATCTCAATTTCCGAATTTTCGATTTTTAGAATTTTCGATATTCAGAATTTCATAACGGTAAAATTACAAAATACTAACCTATCTCCATCTCTAGCTCTCTTAAATTGCTCTCCAATTGCACAACTCAATGTAGTTCCAACCAGTCCTCCAATCACTGGATCCTCCAACATCGATCCCACATAAAAATCAACGTCATCTGAAAAAAATCGGTCTGTTTTTCTGTAAATCCAGATGTCTCACTTGTCGTATTGTAATTCCTAGCGAGTCCAGCTCTCAAATTTCGATCCAAAATCATATCTCCGAAGTCTTCAAAAGTGTTGGCGAACTTCAATCCACAGAATTGTCTCATTTTGTTATAAGACGGAATTCCATGATCTCTTCCTCTTTGGATATTCAACGATCCGAGATCCGTGCTGAAAAACATTTTTATTTTCGCGCCTCTACAAAACAGTTTTTCGATTTTTCAATTTCTTCGAAATTTTCAGAGTGTATAGAACAAAACTAGAGCTTCATTTATTTGGTTGTTGACAATTTTTTCTAGCTACCGTAGTTTTGGAGGTATGCGCCTTTAAAGTAGGCGTGACTCATTTCCCGACGTCCGAGGGGAGATGAGGCTCGCCTAATTTAAAGGCGCATATCCCAAAAACTACGGTAGCCAGAAGAAAGTGGTCAACTACAAAATTGAAGCTATATTCTTATTTTGTATAACTCGAAAATTCCAGAAAAAAAATCAAATCGAATGGAGGGAAAATTCAACATTTTCGAAAGCAAACAACTCATTTTCGTCAACCTAAAAACTTAAAGACATTTTTTGCCGATTTTGTTTCGAAATTTCGCTAAAACTCTAAAAAATATTTTGCAAAATTGTCAAATATGCAAAATATTTCATTTAAGTTTTTCACTTTTCTCCATTTTTGGACATTTTTAGAGTTAAACTTTATCAATTCTATGAAGATGTTTTAAATCCAAGGTGAGTAGGGACCCTTCAACTTCAACCTACTTTTTCTGGATTCCTGTAGATGATATCAAATAGTTGTCAGCTAGCGAAAAATTTGCGAATATATGATAAACTATTTATCAGTTGACTATTTTTTGGTATCTCTCACAGGAACCGAGATGAATCGGATCAAAGTTGACGCTTTTGACAGCGTACCCCGGAGTTTCGCCGGACGGTATGTGTCCAAGCTGATAAATTCAGGTTTATATTGACCCGATTTTTTAATATTTTTAGTGGGTCCCTTACACTTAGAAACACCCAAAAAGATTTAACAACCTCCAAGGAACAATAATTAGTTCCAGAATGTTCCCCATAAATCAAACAACCCCATAAAAATACCTTCCAAACATCTTCTCAGTAATCGCCGGCGTCATTCGATGTGGTCGTTTGACAGCAGTCGTCATAAATCCGCGAATAATTGGATCGACACCTCCTTCAAACAGAATCTTGCCCGATTTGAATACTCCATCGCCAAAGAAGAACCCGCCATGAGTAATATTATTTCCAGATAGATCAACTCTCTTGTAGAACTCCTCAATCATTCCATGACCGAATCGAAAAGCGGAAGTTGTGAATTCATTGGCAATTGTGGCATCCACATTAGTATCATAACCTTTGTATGGTCCGATCACTTTGTCAAATGACACTCCTAGAAGTTTCGGGAGGTATTCCTTATAAAGAACGTTTTGGATTTGAGCGCCAACAATTTTCCTAGCTTCCTGGAAGACTCTATCTCCAGACCATGTTGGATTGAGCTCGGTTAGCTTTTGAGCAATTCTGTTATGCTCTCTGGCAAACATTATATGAAGGGAAGACAATCCAATGAAGAGATTGGCTCGGATATCTCCCGCAGTAAAGGAGGCGGTACATTTATCCTTATTAGCACATTTAGACTGGTCGAATGGAAGAACATTCTGGTTATTGAATCTAGTAACTCTCAAGAATCCAGTCCTTCCATCTCTGAACTTATGAAGATCCTTTAATGAAGATCCATAAATCATAGATCCATCAATATAAGCTGTATTCTCATTGAGTTGCTCTCTGGGCTCCACTCGACAAATTGGGGCGGATCTTGAGACTTTCAGACATTGTTTCGATTTGAATCCAAGATTTGGGTCCTTTTCTCCGATTGGGATTGGCATGCATTTCGATGGGACTGGATCACAAGTCTTGCAGTTTGCCGATGGTTGAAGTGTGGTTTTGGACATGTCATGCGACATGAATTGACCCCATTGCATCATCATGTTGTTGAACTAAAAATTGAAATTGTTTCCTTTTTTCTGATAGTGAAGTTTAATAAATCAGGGGCGAGTAGATCAAAATAGCAACAACGACCTTTCGTTGAAACTCGTGATGTTTGTCTAGACCATTGAAAACATGTGAAGAAGATTTTCGGAATTTGGAGGTCTCATAGAAGCGCTCTGAGAAATTGAGCTACGCGGTTATTATGCTTCTCTGCGTCTCAAAAACTTGTTCAGAACTTTAGATTTTCCGAATTTCCTGAACTTTCTGAATTGTTAGTATTTCCAAATTTTCTCAATCTCTGAATTTCTGAATTTCAGAATTTCTCGAAATATCACATTTTTTGGAATTTTAACATTTCAGAGATTTCCGATTTTCTGAATTTCCTGGAATTTCTGAATTTCTGAATTTCTGAATTTCTGAATTTCTGAATTTCTGAATTTCTGAACTTCTGAATTTCTGAATTTCTGAACTTCTGAATTTCTGAATTTCTGAATTTCTGAACTTCTGAATTTCTGAATTTCTGAATTTCTGAATTTCTGAACTTCTGAATTTCTGAATTTCTGAATTTCTGAATTTCTGAACTTCTGAATTTCTGAATTTCTGAACTTCTGAATTTCTGAACTTCTGAATTTCTGAATTTCAGCATTTCCTGGAACTTTCGAAATATTGAATTCTCCAATTTTCATGTTGAACTACCAATTCGTAAATTTCAGAAAATTGGAATTTCAGAATTTCAGCAAATTTTAGAATCTGAATTGTGAAAAGTAAAAAAAGTTTCAGAATTTTTATGGTTTTTAGTTTCAAAACATTCTTCTATTTTGAAGTTTTCTTTGAAAATTGAAAACATTCAGAAAATTGAAATTTCAGAATTTCTTTATAACTTTTTTTCTTTAATTCTTTGCACCCCGGACCATCAAATTTGAGCCGATTTTTTTTCAATTTCTATGGATGATATTTAAATTGTCAACTAACAAAATATATTTGAAACCATTCTTAACATTTTATCCGTTGATTAGTTTTGATACCTTTCTCATGGACCGAGATGAGTTGATTTTTTTTAGACTGCGGTACTTTCGGATAATATTTTCAAAAAAATCTCACCTTATCATGTACCACCGATTGAGCAGATGACAACATAACACGATTAGCTTCGCGAGCACTTGGTCTAGACTTGTTCAAAGAAGAAATCGGTTCGCCTCTTCCATCATCATACTGCGCTGGGAAGTGTCGATTGAACCTTCTGAATGCAGCTCCTTGCATTGGCTTCTCCAAATTATTACATGTTCCATCAAGAGTACGATACATGAGATGATAACAGAGACTCTTTCTACAATCCACTCCAACGTCAGATAATTGAGGAACACATCCAGTTGGCACACTTCTCGTGATGTCGTCAATGGAGAGCATGTTACGGCCAAAGTTATCTTCTACCGGATTGATTAAACGAGAGATTGACATAAGCTGCAAAATTGGAAGATTGTTGTTGAACGTTGAGTTTGATTGTGCTTAATTATCTCAACTTCATTAAGAGATATCCAAAATTACAAGCTATAAAAAGGTTTGTGATATTATGAAAACCATTTTATCAGTTTGCAGATTTCTGGTATCTTGTATGAGAACCGAAATAATTGAGCTTGAAGTGATGAGCTACGGGATTGAAGACCGTGAGTTGCGATGATAGTGGATTTTTTACTGATATTGAGTTTGGGCTTTGCACAACTCGTTTTCATTGTAACCCATGCCATTGCTCGTCAACCGTGTAGCTCATCCGACAAGCTAAATTATCTTGGTTCCCATAGCAGATATTCAAAAACTGACAACTAATAAAATGTTGGTAATATTATTCTGAACATTTTATCAGTTGACAGAATTTTGATATATCTTATAGTAACCGAGATAATTAAGCTCAAAGTGCTTCAGAGCATTTACGGTAAATGATGTTTCAGTGATTCGAGGTCTTGTCGGGGGGTCACAAATTGCTCATATTTTATATATTCTACTGTGTAGCTTAAAGGAGGCCAGACATGAAAAATTTTAAAGTTCTAGTTTTTTGATATATGACACGGTACAGTCAGAAAATATGTATGGTCACCCAACCATAACTCCATGTTGCCGTACAAGCGAGAACGCGAACGTTCTTCCAAGCGGCGGCACACTCCTCGTTTCATAACCGTTTTAGCGGCAGCCGACGGCAGGCGCCGTTTGGTGTAGAGCACAGGTCCTGGGCGCGCATACGCATAATGGATGGGCGACGGAGGACGCGCCGATGAATTGGGTACAGGGAAAGGGCGCCGATATGAGGCATATACGGGGCATATGGGGCACACCGCCGCCGCAAAGCATCTCCTCGCCTGGCTTGCTGGCACTCGATGAAATGAACTAAAACGTTGGTTGGGGGTTCCTAGAAGTATCAGTTAAATTCTATTGTGATGTGATTTTGTTCAGGTCTTCCGATTTCGTACTTTTCCTTTATTATTCCATATTTTTTTATATTTTGACTTCATATTTTAAAAATAAAATCAAAAACAGAAGAAAATGGGAAAAAATTCGCTAAAAATTGTTTCTTTTTTTCATTTGTTCAAAAAATATGTCTCACTTTCACTTTTTTTGAAATTGCATGAAAAAAATTGAACAATTTTTGAATTTACACTTTGTAATTTTTGTATACTTACCAACTTACCTTTTATTCCACCTGAAAATACGATTTTTACATTAATTACAAAGTGAAATAAAAAAAATCTCAATATCACCTATTTTGGCGAAAAACATAGCAATTAACGAGTGAAAGACATGTTTCTGCAAGAATTCAGCGATTTTTTAGTCTGCCATAACTCTTTTTCACAAAAAACATCGAAGGAATAATCGAAAAACCAGCAATGTAGGCTCGAATTGACGAAAAGTTGGGGGAACGACGTTCGAACTGGTAAGGAGTCGAACTTGTAACAGTTCGATTCTGTCCGCGTTCTGTTCTGGTACGTGTGCGAAAAAATGACTGTTCTGAATTGAATCAGTTCGATTCTAGGTCTGTTCGATTTTGAAAACGTTCGAATTCGTCGTACCCCCGAAAAATTGACAAAGTTGCCGGTGTGGATTTACGGTAAACAATGCGCGCATCCGGGACTTCGGAGCGTTGTAGTCGGCCTACCGTATATCGCGTAACATTGAAGAAATTTAGTGTGTACTAAAAAAAAATAAATGCTCGTCAAGTAGCGCGCATTGGTCGCAATCGCACGACTTTCCGTCAGAATGCATGATCTCGCCCCAAGAAAACCCCGTAGACTTTCGTGTCTGGCCTCCTTTAATAATTAAGCACACCTAGTAGTTAGGTACAAACTTTGTTTCAAATTTATACTAAAAAGTTCAAAGTGTTATATGTATCATTTTTGTCCGGTACTGGACATGGTCTAATAGAATGCTTCCCTATCTATACTTGCATACTTTGAGCTGCAATAGCTCAGTACTCGTAAGAAATAGCAAAGATTGGTCAACTAATAAAATGTAACCCATTTTATGATAAACATTTTATCAGTTAACAGATTTTTGATAACTCTCATAGGGGAGTAAAAAGTGGCAAGGACTACGGTACTTACCTCTGACGCCTGAGCAATGCTGTCCTTGACTCTTTCACAACTGTTCACTGGTGTTAAGCTAGATGGTGGAATTGTGACTGTCGTCGTTGGTCCCGATGAAACTGTCGTCGTTTGGACGAATCCTCCATTTGATTGTTGGAATGAGGAAGCTGAAAAATGAGAGTTCAGGAAATTCTGATCTTTAATTCCCTTGAAATTTTTAGGATACCTAGCTTTTTAGATTCTTAGATTTCCAGATTCTTAGAGTCTTAGATTCTTAGATTCTTACAGTCCCTTGAGAATGCCCTCAAAGAGTGTGATCCTACACCATTGAAAATTGCTTTGAAAATTCATTTTTATGATTTTTTTAAACCCCCCCCCCCCACCTTCAATTTCTTCAAAATACATATAAAAACATACACATCTGCCAAATAGTTGTAAAAAAACGGGAAAGATTGCTTTTGTATTTTCTAAATCCCCACATCTATCTAAATACCTGGTTTTCTTCCAATTCTTCTTGTTCTTAAAGTTGTAAATTGTACGCGTCCACCACATACAAATGTTCCAAGTCATTCTACCGTATGATTATACTCTCTAATAAGATTTTGTTTCTAGAAAAAGACGAAGAAGAAGCTAGTTCAGTTTACATCCCCCCTCCTCCGATTCTTCTTTTCTTTGCGAATTTTCTGTAGGTCAAAAAAAGAGGAGCGTGCGGTGGCAGGCGCGGTGATAACCCGCTTTGTGTATACATTTCATGGTCAGTAAAAAGACAAAGAGGGTCACCTGATGATTAACATTCTTATCAGATACCATTTTTTTCGGTGCTTACCAGTTGTGGTCAGATTCCACCACA